TAAGGCAATTTTAAACCTTGAAGAGAAAAGCCTTGACTCTACTTTTGGTTTATCGATTTGGAAAGGGCATTTAAATTAATTCTACGCCAGGCATTCTAGCTTATTTTCAACCGACTTCAAAAAAGGAGGAGGTTCTCAATTCGACTGTATTTTTATCTATGTTAAACCATAACTTTTTTCTAGATGAACCGATTTTGATAATGCTTTTTTATTTGAAGTTGTTAGTTGTGCAGTGTGTGGTCTTGCGTTATCGCGAAGCAGCAGTGGCCTAGTGTGATTGACCAATCTTGGTTGTTTAGCAGCTAGTTCTTCCTTCATGGTTTGCAGTTGCTGACAATAGATATCTGCCGTAATCGTTTGGTCAGATTTTAGAAAGCTGAGAACGACACCGGCGCTAGTCAACCAAACACTTACAAGTAACTTTTTCTGAGTCAATTTTCGTTTAGGGCAGTCAGTATCGTACAGTATCCACATTTCATCACAAGTAATATAGATAAATAATATATATATATATATATATATATATATATAAGATATACATAATAATACATATAGATATAAGATTTAAAATCCCTTCATTTTTGTGTCGGTTGAGCAAAGTAAAATAGCAGTCGACGCGTGTTTGCAAGTTCGATTCACTCTATTCATGAGGTACCCATCGTTCAAGTTTTTTTAACTTCCCGATTTGCTTCAAGTAGATTAATACAGTTTTATACACATACCCCGAAGCCTGCAGCTATCTCTGAAGTACTTTGTGATGGATTCGCTTCCACAATAGCCTTTAATTCCTCATTTTACACTTTGGTCTCCGGCCGTCTACGGGGTTGGTTCTGAAGGTCGAAAATTCCAGAAGGAAAACGTTGAAACCAAAAACGTACCGTAATTTCTTTTGCGACACCAGCGCCGTACACATCATTAATCCTTCGATCTGTTTCCGCAGCACTGGTGCCACGGTAGAACTCGTACTCGTAAATATACCGATATTTCATGTTTTCCATTGTGCGGTAATAAGGGACGCCAAAGAAAAACGCTAAAAAATAATGAGGAAAAACAAATGAATGACTGTATTCAAAACTCAAATGTAATAGCTAAATGAATTAATAAATTTGAATTTGGAATTCTTAACCAAAGAGGAGATATTTCAGATCAAAGTGGTCATAAAACGCTAATTTCATAATATGTAAGGAACCAATATTTAATTTCGAATAGAACTGTGTCTTATTATCTTAGATGTTATATATAATCTATTAATATAGTTTGTTCTATTATTGTAGTTTGTAATCTATAAGTTAAATATTCAGTTACTATATTATAATGTCTCACAAACCAAATTTTCTGCGCAGGAGAGGATTATTGTGCACTAGTGTGAGCGCAAGCACAGACGCACTCTTTAATTCCTCCCTCTCAAAATCTGATGAGACCTTAGACAATTTAAGATGAGACGGCAATCCGTCGTGTAGACTGGCGATAGATCAAGCGCAAGCGTATTGGTGTTAAATTCATATAGGGTACATACATAGTACCCTATATGGACTTAACACCATTACGCTAGTAGTACTACCCGTACTTAATGTTGTTTTTTAAATATTTTTTTAATGGCGAGTCTAGTAAATTATCTGTCATAAGTTAGTTTACACATCAAAAGAATCTTACGTTAATGGATAATTCTGCAGAACTTGTTATTTAAAAATATACTATCTAAAAGTTAAACGACGAAATAAGCTGGCATTTTAAAAAAAGGTGATAAAAGATATACCACAATACCAATATATTTACGTAGTTGCCAAAAGAAACTTGAACTTTCAGCGTTCTTATTGTACGGAACGTGCACATTAAAAAAAGTCACGCTGTGTTTCTTGCTGCTTCTTCCCAGGACAGAAGTTTCTTCCAAACTAGTGGTAAAGTAAAAAGTTACTTTCAATAAGAGTTACATGTAATCTATTTTGAATAAAAAATAATTCTAGATAACTGAAGAGCCACACGCGGAAAAGATTCCTTCAAAACGAGCAACATAGAAGAGCTGTGCTAACATTCTCGACTTTTCACAAAACTGTGAACAAATTCAATTAAAATTAAAGTAGAGTAGCGTGCAAACGTTCAAATTTTCTGAAAGCGTTTTGAGAATTTCCATCATTATTCATTTGTCGTATCACTATTCTTATTGCTTGTTTCTGGCTAGTTTTTGATTTGTTTGATGACAACAATATGAGAGTCACAAACAAATCAACAGTTTGTTTACAAAAAAATAGTTTAAATAAATTACAGAATCAGATGACAACAATATGAGAATCACAAACAAATCAACAGTTTGTTTACAAAAAAATAGTTTTGAAAAATTACAGACTCACGTATGCTTAATATAAAAAATAAATTTTAGGTTAAAGAACACTATTTTAGGAAGGAAGGTAAGAATCATTACAAAACTAAAAAAACACCTTACCCTAATTTATTTTAAGTCACGGTTTTATTTTATTTAAGTGAAAAATCATAAACCATATTCGTAGCTGCATTGATCACAAAAAGTTCGACGAGATTCAAAGACTGTATTACTCCGAAATCATGTAAGTCTTGGTTACGTCACTCGGGATATTACTGTATATGTCAAATATAGTAATATATAGACACATACTCTTAGAAATAATTAATGCAAACTAGCTGTTGCCACAATTGGTCACAAAGAGTGACGGACTAGCAGATAGTTCTTTTTTATATAGGATAGGGTGAGAAACGAGCACACAGTCCACCTGATGGTAATTGGTTGTTGGAGCCCATAGACATCTACATCTATCCTCGGTTACAAATCAAAATGATGATGATGCGTTGTCACCCGTGAGGACTAAGATGGAATGCCTCCTTTCCAGTAAAAAGGGTGTCGGGTTCTCTACACTCACCATACGAAACACAGTAGCATTAAAGCTACTATTTCACGCTGGTATTCTGTCAGAGTGGTGGTCCTTCCCCGGTCGAGCCAATCCATTCGTGCTACAACTATACCACTTATATGTATAACTGCTGCATGTCTCTACCACGTATATATTCTTTTTTCTTCTTTCAAAAATTCTTTAAAAATTTCACAGAACATGGAATACGACGTCGCGAATACATGTATTTGTGTTTTTATATCATGAATATTATATAGAAACGACGCCAGCAAACCGCCGTCTTTTACATTCAACGATATCATAGCGGTCGTTCCAAATGATCGTATAAAAGGTTCGTGCAAGTTTTCTAAGCCTATTTTCACATCTATCAACGAAAAAACCTTTAAACTTAACGTGACTAATAGCTTTTAAGCAAATTATACATTTATTTATTTTATGTTTACACATTTATTTTATGTAGAGTTGTATAATATATTTAAACTTTTTTGTGTTATAATATTCTTTAACATAATTTTGGGTTTCCATTATATACACATGTAAATTGCTTTCTATACATACACACACACACACACACACACACACACACACACACACACACACACACACACACACACACACACACACACAAGCACACACACACACACATACAACACACATATATAAAAAAAAAAAAAAATAAAAAATATATATATATATATATATATATATATATATATATATATATATATATATTTCTCGAAATACAAAAAAATAATTTACGTAATAAAATATGCATGAGGTTTGTACTAATTTATTTATAAATTTAAATTAAATTAAATGAATAGATAATACAATTTATTATACGGTTAGAAATTTATAAAGACTTAAAATAATAATACATATTTTAAACCAATTAACATACGACCCAAAAAAATACATATATTAAGGTTACAGCTATCGGCTAAAAGAGCCGTGTTCGATAAAGGACTGCGCTGTCACTTATTACCAGTACAGTAGAGAATGTCTTTCTGAATTACAATATACTGAGCCCGCCTCCGTAGTATTATTTTCAGATCTTATTACTTTTTATCATGTAAAATATAATAAAAGAAAGAAAGAAAGGGCGCCATGATTTAGATTTTATTATACTTAATACTAAAACTTAATACTAAATACAAGGAGTGCAATTTTAAATTAGACGATCTGTACGCGTTACACGCTTAAGTGTAAGTGTAAGTAAAGATTTGGATCCTTAATTGCATTTACCTTGCGGTAAAGGAAAATATTCCATTAATATGCCAAGTAGGCTTAGCTTGTGAGCTATCGTTACTCCTGTTTCAAGATCAAAATTTGGTAAAATGCCACTGCTCTCTGCCAAGCTCTCACATTCACGGGACTATTTCTATAATCGCCATGCTTGGTTAGTGAACTGGCGTTCGCAGTACCAGATGTAACTCAACTATGACGCTGCTCTCAGTCACAATTCTGGGTGTTTACGTCTAAATAATATGGATCGTAATACAGCCTTCTGTCCGAAGCCATAAGTTTCTCTGGCGTTACCCATAGCCGCCTCTTACGACACTCGCAATAATTAAGATGATTAATTTTCCACCACACGCGACACACCTTACCACACTAGTATATCTGTTATTTCATTAATGTTAGAGGTTATCTATAAGTATGTATAAAATTTTATCTGTCTACAGAGCTAATCTTCGAAGTAGCTAAAACGATTGTGATGAAACCTTACGAGCTGATAGAAAGCCATACTAGGACTGATCTAAGTATATTTTCTCCAATAAACTTGGAGAGTTTAAAAAAAATAAAATAAATGGTCTTTGATTATCGAGTACTTATATAATTATATTTACGTACATCATTACCCTTTCTCACGGGTCATTATATTCTCTGCAATGTGATTGCGTAATAAAAAGTTAAATGGCAAATTTGCTTTATATTGACGATTGAAATTAAATACAATTTATTTTATTTACATATAGTATTTATACACAATGGAAGTGACATCTTTTTTTCTTTGACGAAGTTTCTTGTTCTTCCGGCTTTAAGTTCGTTTTAGTTTATGTTTAGTAATAAGTAGTTTAGTATTTATATTACCAATAGACATATACAATATACATGCTATATTTTTTCCATGGGCCAGAATAACAAGCAAGGCACACAACATACTATTAATGCGTAGAAAGCTGGAACGTAATCTCCGTATACGTCTTTTACCATACCTGTGAACAGAGTATTATACAATACGAATTTGTTCTACTTAAAAATTGGATATTATATTGAAAGTCATCAAGATTTTTTTTGACTTCGAGGTTAACCCGCATCGAAAAGATATCGATCTGTAAGTTCTAACGATTAAATCGAATTTTCATGATATATATATATATTTTTAACGATACACTTTTAATTTAAAGTTTTTTTACTGCTGTTGTGTTAATCTAGATTCGATGTTAACATATTTTATAACTTCAAATCTGTATTGAATTCGCAATTTTAACATATCCACAGTTCCATTTCAAATCTCATTTTCAAATGCAATGGTATGAACCATCCATCCATTACAGTATAATATAAAAGTTTACTGCTGAACATAGGCCTTCCCTATAGACTGTTTCATTGAAGGATATATTGCGATAGTTGTCAAAACTGTCAAGCGGGAAAAAAACCACATTTTTTGTTATTTTCAGTTGATATAAGCGATGGGCCGAATATGGATTTCACCGAACACGATTATTTGGCCCAAGGTACCGAGGTGATTCGGCCGAACATTATTCGGCAGAATCACCTCGGTACCTAACTAATTTATGTTGAAACGTGTTAGCGTAAAGCGCGCGGGATTAGCGCCGAACTAGCGCCGGAACCTACCCCTCGCACATCATCTAGTACTAATCAAATTACCAGTACATGCTTATATTTTGACAGTTTTTGTGAGAAAAAAGTATCTGGTTGTGTTGTTCTAAGTGAAAATTGATAATTACTTATATGATAAAATGAGTGTCAGGAGATCTACTATTTGGAGCTATTTTAGAGAAACTGACGACCAAAGTAAAGTGAAATGTACTAATGTAACTATTTTTCTTTGTTTGATTCCAAAAACATTTTATCAAGCTTTCTATTTGCTATAATTGGAAATAAATCTACAGTACCCCAAAACATAACGTTATACAGGTAGATTTAGCCCATAAATAAAATATACTTTCAAGAGTAAAATTATGAAAGTCATAACATTACTCAATTCGTACATTTCAATACAGTGGACGCTTTGAGTACCACTTCAACGAATGTTCGGTGATTTAGCCGAATATTCGGCCGAATACGAATATTCGGTAAAGCTGCCGAATATCTCGAATACCGAATATGAAACGGATATTCAGCCCATCTCTAGTGGTTATTAGGAAGACGCTGCTACCCATCTACCTGTCTTGGTTTCTCTCTGTCACGTTTTACGACACCCACGCCGAAATATGTAGTGGATATTCTTTCGCCATCAATACAAGGTATGTACATTAAAATGACATCAGAAACTGGGATATTTCAATTTGTTACTTTTTAAATTTATATATTATTTCCATATAATTATTCTTGTTACCTTACCGATGAATGGTGCGAATGTAACATTAACTAATCCAGCAGCAAGCATATTCAAGGCGTAGGCTCCAGGAAAATCTTGATTAGAGACATAGTCCGAGATTACGAGTGGACTGGCTACGTGGAGAAGGGCACGAAGTACTCCCAAAGCACCAGTTACAACAGCTACAAAAGTGAACTGACGGACTTGTAGCATAACTAAAAAAAAAAATAGATATTTTAATAGTTAAGTACTAACAAAATGTGACATTTTGAATTTTATTAAAATAAAAGTAAAGTTACAGCCTATATACATCCCACGGGCACAGGCCTCCTCTCGCTTCTGAGAGGGTTTTAGTGGAAGAAAGTGTCTGCCGCGCTGCCATAATGCGTTTTGGAATAACAATATAGGTAATCAGAGTTTCAGTATATTTCTCCTTCACGTATCCCGTTGGAGAGAGGATTTGCTTTACTCGTCACGCTTAGCCAGTGGATTGGCGATTGCAGATCTAAACGTACGTCTGGGTATTTTACGATTAGCGTAAGAAAGATGGTTTTACCGCCATCTATTGGAAACCAAAAGAACTTTCAGAATAATCTCACAGTCGTCTTTTATGATACCCACTGGACAAAATTAGGGGATGGATTATTTTACGCCGTCACGTTATTAGCATGTAAGTTGTTATAAATATGTCACCTATTCATACTCCGGACAAAAACTTTCCTTCAGAAATTTAATTCAAAAACATCTGAATCTACGAGTATACAGATGAACATAAGGCGTATTGACCACTAAAACAGACGCGCCTCTATTTATTTTCCATAGAGCTAGAAGCTTAGGCAAACTCGTGGCGACGACGTCGTGACGGCCAATGCCTCGACAGGCGACTTTGGGCTCATTGCCCGCGCTATGACTGCCATAATTCTGTCGCGACTTCACCTTGAGACCATCTTGACTTTGCAGTGGGTGTATTCACTTATAGTTTATAAATTTTTTTAGTAATGTATATACAGTAAGACATAAAATTGTATGGAGAAGCGGGACATACAGCCATAAAAAATTAACGAAAAAAAAGGTAAATGATAAGTGTCAACCAAAAAAAACCCACCGAAAAAAGCTTGTGTACTACTAGATCCTCAATAAATAATGCTTGTATTAGCAGTTAATAAAGAGCAGCGTTTGCCAAAAGCAAGACAACAGGTTTTGATAATAAACTTTCGCCAAAAGCGAAACAGTCCACAAAGTTTTTTTATTTTAAACCTAAATAATTTAAAATATAGCCAAACCTTATAGTTTTGCCTTTTTTCTTTCTTAAACGTTTTAAATAATACTTGTAAATAAAATATAATAAATAATAATTGTAAGTATAATACATCGATAAATAAACTATATTAATGGAACTAAGAATAGGGAAGGAAACAAGCCCCTGATATACAGGTATTATATCCTAGTTTAGGGGCTAATGACCACTGTAAATGTTGTGCATTTAATATGTTTATCAATAAAGATAATTAAAGATTAAAGTCCTGCTGTGACTCTTTTTTCCTGATAAAGTGGGAGTTTAACGGATTTCCTTTAGTTTTACGTGTCGTGTTTCTAGGCGTTAGGATTCATTTTCTGCCTCAGTGCCCGTTTAGGTAAGTGCCAACCCCTACCCATGGAGGTTAGAGAGAAGGAGAACAATCGCTGTAGAAAATAGTGTCCCAGAAATATGCACAAAGTAAGTGAGGCGCTGCGATCGCTAAGTTGCCTCAATAAAAGCGACCTGTTTTGCGCTAGTTTGAAATGATCTATCAACGTTTAATATACGTGTGTATGTAATATCATTCAAAGAAAAAAAAAAATGAAATTATTATTATAATTAAAAATATTATAATTATTATTAATTATTAATAAATAAATAATGTTTTTTTAAATTTTTATTAATATAAATATTATAAATGATTACAAATATAAGTTATTATTATTGATTTTTTTAATAATATTTCACTATTTTTAATGTTTCTTTTTGTCAAAAATTAAAAAAATTACTGAGCACGATTATTTTCTCACCAATGCCGCGAAGAAAATTTGCACATTATTCAACTAACTTCATCTACTTGTACTTATAAACAGCTAACTTCGCAGAATACTACTTACCGACGGCAGCGCGGCTATAAATTCTACAAATTTTCAGGGACAGGCGGGCTAATGCTTTAGCACGTAGCGATCGTTCTCCTTCTCTCTAACCTCCATGCTCGTACCTATTTCTAATGCCAAATAGCAGTGCTTGTAACGCCGTGTTTTGGTCTGAAGAGTATAGACATCCAGTATTATTACAGGCTGTGAGACATTCCATCTTAATCCTCAGGGGTGACTACGCATCTAAAGCCTTTCTTGTTTGAAAATATGTGCAAGTGTCCATGGACTGCAGTAGCCATATTGAATTTTTTAATTTATTTCGAAGATCGACAACGTACACAGGATTTATTTAACATTAATGTAACAAACTAAAAGTATGAACAATAACAGGTTTCCCTTATATTGCTTGATGGTATATTGTTGTTGGAAGAAATAGCAATAAAAACAGTCTAAAAGACAGATCATAAGCGATTCAATGAGAGGAAGGTGGTCACAAGCTTACAGATATTTTAAGTTCTTTGGAGGGTCTGGTAGATTGACAATATATATTACATAAATGCATATACATACACACATAAGTATATACATATAAACATACATATATGTGTACACACATACACATAATAAGAACAAATATATAAACATAACATTGTATGTATATAAATATATATTGATTTGTAGCGATTTAGTAGTATTATAAGCCATTATTAGCAAATAGTAGTCATTATCCATAGGTATTAGATATATTGTAAAATACGTTGGATTAGAAGTTCGTATGTCACTAGAATTTATTAAAAAAATAGTTACACATAGGTACAAATGTAACCACTAAAATAACTATTATTTATAATTTACGTGAACACTACACATTGAAAAAGCGGCTAAGGGCGAGTCGGACTCGCCCATGAAGGGTTCCGTAGCAGCAAGTAACCTAATATAAAAGTTCTTGTAGTTGATTGAATGAAAGTTTAATGAGGTTTACGATTTATGACCATTTATCTCGTTCAAACCAATTTTCGGTGGAAGCTTACATGGTAATTTACATCATATATTTTTTCAGTTTTATCATTCTCTTATTTTAGAAGTTATAGGGGGGGGGGGGGATTACACACATTTTACCACTTTGGAAGTGTCGTAAACTATTCAGTTTAGAAAAACATGACATTACAAACCTCAATATCATTTTTAAAGACCTGTCCATAGATACCCCACATGTATGGGTTTGATGAAAAAAAATAAGGGAACCCCCCAAAATTTATTGTTTTTTTTTCATTTTTGTGCGAAAATCTTAACGCGGTTCACAGAATACATCTACTTACCAAATTTCAACAGCATGAGTTCTTATAGTTTCGGAAAAAAGTGGCTGTGACGTACGGATGGACAGACAGACAGACAGACATGACGAATCCATAAGGGTTCCGTTTTTTGGCATTTGGCTACGGAACCCCAATAAAACCACTTATAAGTGGTAACAATACTTTGTTACTTATATGATAATACGGTAAGTACCGACCGTAAAAAACCTAGCAAGAAAAATGTTATCAAAAACCATAATTCAACGACAGTGCGCTTCGAGCAAGCGCCATGTTATTCTTACTGAGCGTTTTATGACATTCAAGATATGAACACGAATATAAGGCTTGACATCACTCCGATAGGAGTAATAGTGTTCTGTGCTTGACATTGACATATTCGATTCGGCACATAGGTACGATCCAACATTATTTGTTGAACCATAAAACCAGCCTGAAGCCACAGCTATTTACTTTATCCTGGTTACCTGAACGCCAAAACCGTGAACATTGTATTATTTGGCCACTGTTCTGTATTTCGGATTCACTTTTCATTATTCGATCTCCGTTCGGACGTTTGTCTTTTTGTTTACACTGGCGTCAGATGTGTAACGTTTTCAATACAGTCTCATAAATGTATTATTACTGTATATATAATATATATTATGACAACTTCAGCCGCAACGATAGTTTCCACGTATAATAAAAAACTTCAAGTCGGTGCTTTAATTCTAATATTATATCGACCGTTTACTATTAAATTACGTGCATACCGTATCGTTAACTATTAAATTAAGTGCATTTTATTTTATTCTTTTAATGTTTCTGAAGTTGGTTTTTGCTTTTTTTAAATTTAATTAATTGACCCTTCTGTATGGTATAGTAAGCAATTTCACCTTACAGTGACAAATATAATAACTTCTAAATATGTAGTTATGTTTAATTTTTAATCCTATGGAGTATCTAATATGAAGTTTGAGTCCAAGCGAAATTGGAATCATATAAGATATAACAGTTTTCGAAATTATCTTTGTTTTAAAATAAACGAATAATAAAAAAAACGCACCAAGTACTATCGGTTGTTGTTCTCCCTGTACTGTGTTCTTCCTATCTTTCTATTGCATTGAGCCAATCCAATAATTTATAGGTATTACAGTATTGAATATTTTTAATGTTGTTTATGTAATTGTTAGGATCGGGAGTTGCTTTGCTGAAATCCATTATAATATTAAAGATGTGAAATTTAATTACCTCTCCAAGATCCGCGTGAAAAATAAGACGGTGTGTCCCTACCTAGTGTGAAGAGCACTCTAACTTCCAATCAGGGACTCAATATTAAAATCTTTATAGGTATTGATTAAAATTTTATGTTTTCTCCTACAAACGTAAACCAACTTTTTAGCTGATCATGAGATCTAAGACTAAAGAAATATTACATTGTTTATTTTATACAATTATTTAAAGACTATTGCGTAAATTTATAAATTGGTGCAGCTCCGAAAATTTATTTTTTGGATCATAAGGAACTAATTTGATTGAGATTTTGACTTAAGCTAATTAACGATTTCGAGAAGTTGATATGAATAAAAGATGTTCGAATTGAGCATTTTTTTAAGTTAAGATATAATTGTACAACAGTTATGACTAAAAATAATGTGCTGGTAAGTGATGCAGGAAGTCGATGGAGGAAGGTGGCCCAGGACCGTGCTTTGTGGCATTCCTTAGTTGAGGCCTTTGTTCAGCAGCGGTCTTGCGAAGCTGTAATGAAGACTATGATAAAAGTGTATGCTATTGTAACTTACTAATTCTTACGAGAAGTGTGAACAGTGTGGCAACGTAGTATAAAAGCCTCGTGTTAATTGGTACGACCCCACTAATAATTGCAAGCACGCAACGTCCAGTCAGGTCAGCCCCAGCGGCGATTGATATACATGTCGCTACTTGCGTCTGAAATAATAAATGTAAACATAATATTCATACATTTCTCATGCCCTAGTACTCAAAAGTTATTAAATTTTAAGATGTCTTTAAGTCTCGTGATGTCACAGTCACTTTGACTTAAAATTATAAAGAAAGTTATAGAGAAATTGCATTTTGATTCGTAATCGAGAATAGATGTAGATGTATATAGACCACAGAAACCACTTACCATCAGGTGGACTGTGTGCTCGTTTGTCATCCTATCCTATAAAAAAAAGCACGAGACTTAACGGCATCTTAAAAAGAGTGACAGTAACCTTTGAGTACTTGGCCACCAGTCGAAAACTGAAATATTTTTCAATAATTCTTATTTCACAGATTGTATCACATTTAATTTAATGCCGTTCTTTGATATTTTTTGTTTCGTATTGGATGCTTTACGGCAACCGCGGTTACGTTTAGAAATGAGGGGTTCGATGTTCGGATATCAAAATAAACCTGTGTTAAATTCATTCAGTCTCACAGAATACCAGTGCAAAATAGTAGCTTAGCTTGCTACTGTGTTTCTTATGGTAACTGTAGAGAACCGGAGACCCTTTTTACTAGAAATGAGACATTCCATCTTAGTCCTCACGGGTGATAACGCATCTGCATTTTGATTCGTAATCAAGGATAGATGTAGATGTCTATGGGCCACAGCAACCACTTACCACGAGGTGCACTGTGTGCTCGTTTCTAACCCTATCCTATAAAATATAAAATAAATCCAAGCATACCACTTCATGATACTGCTCGATCGTTCATCGTAGATCATCTTATAAATAATATTGAAAAACGAAAAATACCCTATGTCAACTATGAATGTAATAATTGTGTAAAATAAAACATTTAGTACACCGTGCAGTGGCAGTTTATGAACACCCATATATCCAATATTGTCTTAAGAGACGACACAGGGGAGCAAACCAGGAGAATGGCATCAGGGTATTTCTTATAATAACCAATAAATAAAACTGCATGCAAAGCTCGGGAAGCCTTTAATCAGCAGTGAACTTTTGAGTGGGTCTAACGGTAACTATAAAATCAGGACGTTATTTGATGTGTAACTAACTATATCATTATATAATTTTGCAGGATAATGTGGTTATTTGGGACGTGGTAATTCAGGGGCTAAGTGCTTGCTTTGAATTGTACAGTACGCGAGCAAACTGAATACGATCCTCGTACGTCAACATTTAAGGTATTAATTTCAAATTTCAATGCTGATTTGCCAGGTGTTCTGCGATGAAGGAAAACATCGTTTTTTTCATCGTCGTGAAACATGCAACATAAATTACATAAACTAGAGCATTGTAACTTTGTGACTATTTTAAAGGTCATATTTATTTAATAGTGAACTGCATCTAAGTAATTAATAGAATGATAAGATGAGAAATGTTTTTCATATAAAAACTTAAGATCCTATTAGTTCAGTAAGCGTATAAATGCTCTATATGCGTTTATCATATTATGGAAGATAAATATTATAGAAATGTAGTTATAATGTCAATGAGTTGAATATATTACAAGTAACTATAACACCGCATAAGATTTTAAAATCCGACCGAATTTTAGTCTCAATGGAGACTAGCCATAATCTGCAGCACAGGATTATAGTGCGTGTGTGTAACCACTCATAGTCTTCGATGGAACGGAAATCTGATGCGATCGGTGAGAGATCAAGCTAAGGACCAACGATTTTATGTTCTTTCCGAGGAGAAACGAAAAATTTTCGACATAAAAATTGGGATCTCACCTACTTACTAGACCATTGGAGGCAGTCTGAGTCAGTCAGAGAAAGTTTATTATTCAAAAGGTGCCTTTAAGTTTTCTTCGATTCGTTTACAAAAAAAAAATTAAAGCCAAAGTTCCATAGCAAATCTAATATATAAAAATTAAAATTTGTTTGTTCATATTTTATGCGCTGCTCAAAATATAGCTTGCGATTCCACGAATAGGCATAGTTAGACCCTGTAGGCTACGCTGTTGCAGAAGAACATCAAATTCCTTATAAATTATAATTTTCGATGCGATTTTTTCAATATTTTCATGATTTATGCATTATGAATACAGAATATAATTTTGCGAATTATTCTTTAATTGAAGTATTAATTTAAATAATAGCCAGCCAGAAGTGACCAGTATAGAACATTTTGAATTAAACATTAAAATAAGTAAAACAGTAATTAACTGGTACCGGTATCAATGCGCATACTGATAATGGTCATGACAAATTATTAAAATACTTATTTTAAAGATATTTTCATGTCATATACCAGATATGATATAAGTCGGGTTATGACGGATTCGCACCGATTAAAATCACATGGTGTTTAACGCATTTACCTCTGGAAAGCTTTCACCCACATTCGCCACCGAGTCTCTCCGAGTCATGGAAACATGTCATGGAAACTTGCCCCATAATACTAAGGTATTAGCATTGATCTGACTACTTGTCGTGGCTTTGATAAATTTATTGGAGCGGAGCTCCCGTGGTGCAAGAAAATTATTCTTTGAAATCTATCTCCTCCGTAACCCGTAGGCAAATTTACATATTTTTTTCGGCAATATTTGTAGCTCAACGCAGAAAAGGTTTATAAACAATAAAAATCTGAATTGATTTTTTTTTTCATTTACTATGTAATCATTTAGCTAATTTATTGGAAGCTGATTAATTTGAATTGATTTTATGAGCTGATTAGTTTAAATCTGCGCAATATCACCATTTGATTGAATCTTTTGTTGAAATAAAGATAGCTATGACTTTAGACTATTACTCCGCTCCGTTATAATGCTAGCAAAAGGTTTTGCACCTTTGCATCTGCATCGAACCTAGTTTATTTTGCTATACGTATTACAGTGGAAACTCATAACCGATGAAAATCACTTTTGAATGCGAAAATCAGGCAAACATGATTTTGATCGATGCCCTAAGTCGCAAACAGTTTTGACCGATTTTTGTGGTCAAAAATGGCTTTACTTGATTAAAAGTTTAAACTATTGGTCAAAAATTGCGACATCGGTGACAGTGGGTTAATCTACGACTGGGGTAGCCCTTGAGTTGATAAATAATTTAGTAATCTGTACCTTGGTCCACCTTAAATCCACTTACGTTATAATGATATAAAATATAGTATTAAAAGAATTAAAAATTTTAATTTTAAAACTTCAAAACAGTTTAAGTCAAAAGTCGTTTTGATTAACTTTCTTAGTAAAAACCACTTTTAACCGATATAGTTTCACAGAAGCCAAAACACTTAACTGCAAATATATTATATTTGCAGTTATACGTGGTTTTGGCTGGCTATGACTTTTGACTGTAACATAGGCATGTTACAGTCTTGTTGGATTGTCTCAGTTGGATTCTCATATACATGACACTCATATTTCTTCTGCAAACAAATGAATTACTATGCCACGCATGTCGTTGGTGTTATTATAAGCATGAATTCTACAAAAATTAAATAAATTTTGGTAAAGTTTGTGAAACAATTATTTCATAAAATATATTATACAACGTGTTGATGGTTGAATTTAACGGTGTTTATCTGCCTTATCATTGACCAATGACCAATCTTAATACTGGTAATACTTGCTAAGTGATTTAAAATATTTTAATATTTATAACTTAATAAATAAAATAAAAATATATTTACCGTTGTATAGCCATATTGAAATAGAAGTATTGGTTGCAAGACGAAAAATGTCAAGTCGGAAAAGTTAACGAAACTCTGGCCGACACAGATGTTGCAGAAAACTGGATCTTTCAAAACTTTCATGTTTATACATTTCAACAGCTCTTCTCTAAAATTAAAAAGTTTTCAATAATTATGAGTTTTGGTTAATCTATTATACTTTTTAAATATATTCGCTCACCTCATTTTATCGGTTTTAATTTTGCTAGATTTGCCCTTCACTTTCGAAACAACGATTGTTTTTCCATTCTCTATAGTCAATAAGTCGACGTTTTCTTCGATTTTTCCATTGAAATTTCCTGTTGGGTTCATAAATTATCATGTATTTGGTCACAAATATTTAAATATTTTTTATCACAAAGAGATAAAAAAATACTTGCGGTTCTGATAACTTTCGTAGATTTTACACTCGTCTTCATTACAATCATGCCAGGTAATGTATGGAATGATATTCCTGATAGTATTAACAGGGTCCCCCTAAATCCGTAATTTGTCATCAGAATCTTTATCAACTGTGGGTACCACATTAATGCAAACCCCTGAATGGCTTTTACTATGCTCATTACTTGTGTTCTCTTCTTAACAAAGTGATAGTTTAAGCTTGAATAGCAAACTGGGACCATCATCCCAAAACCGATTCCTTGTAGTCCGCCAAATGTTACGGGCAGTTGGTTTGTGTTCGTTATAAATATTGTGAGAATTGCACCAGTAGAATATAGAACTGCACCTAAACACCCACCGAGTCTTAGGGAATAATTTTTAAGCGTAATATTTAGAATTAATCCTGTAAATAAATAATTTCTTATGTGTAATGACTTAATACAATGTTAACAACTGTTAAAAAAATTTACGCTCTATACCTCAAAGTACATATTATTATGGATACATATAAAAAAGTAAAGTTACAGTCTTTATACGTCCCACTGCTGGGCACAGGCCTCCTGTCATTTCTAAGAGGGTTTTAGGGCAAGGAAATGTCCGCCATGCTGCCCCAATGCGTGTTGGCGAACTTCACATGTATTCGAAATATTTTTTTTCTTATTCCTCAGACATACAGGTTTCCTCACGATGTTTTCTTTCATCGCCGAGCACGTGGTAAATCAGCACTTAAAATTGCAATTAACAATTTCATTAGTGCCGGCGAGGATCGAACGGCTGCCACGGCTCATGGATACATATAAAAAAATATATGGATACATATAAAACCTCTTTAATCCGAACCCCTACTAATCCGAACGTCCCAACCCCCGGCTGCTTGTTTGCGGATCTCCGCTTAGCGCGGTGTCTGAGTTAAATATATGCCTTGAATGGTCTGACCAAGCGGACATTCCTGTGTCAGAAAAAATGCATTTACGTTAATTGCGAGACAATGCTTTTTATTTGTCATTAAATACTTCCCGACAAAGTAAAATATTGGATTTCTTTAAAAAATTTTAATACATTTTACGTTTATAGATGAATATACATTTAAAAATTCACAGTACTATTTGTTTTATTTCATAAAAAATACCCTATGGATTATCTGTACTATAATATGGACGCTCCAAGAATCCGAACAGGAGGTAAATTTTCGGAGTTTGAATAAAAGAGGTCCTGCTGTAGGGTTATTCATCCTAGGGTAGATACTCGGAAACGCGTGTTCGCCACCCCGTCTAGGGTGGATAATCAGAATTCACTTTTCGATTATTGTTCCACCTTTACACCCCAGGAAAAATCATACTATTGCATTTAAACTAAATTAAACTTCCTTGTTTTAAATAATAATAAGCGATTTAAATCAAAAACATAAATTAAGCCGTCATACGGAAGGGTTGGCTCAGACTACAAATTTTTATCATAACTTTAGCTTTTTTCACATCCACATATATGCGCATACAATATGTTCGTCCGTTTAGGGTATGTGTTAATTTACACTTTTTAATTTACTCATGTAAGTACATGAGTAAATTAACAAGCTCTTACGAATAAGTACTATAAATATTAAAGAAAGAAAAATTTAAACAAAAGTTTATTTTAATTTTAACTATGAGTTAAAATTAAAATAAACTTTTGTTTAAATTCGTTTATAGAATCTTGAAAGTCATCTGTCAAAGCCGGCAGTCGAACCGATCCAAACGTAAGTTTTGTAGTACGTAAGCAACCCAAATTCGATCCGCGACGACGCTACGGATATTTTAATTGCAAATGTTTTGATTTACCACTTTCTTGGTGGTGAAGGAAATATTCGGGAGGAAACCCGAATATCTGAGAAGTTAAAAAAATGTTTTTGTTTTATAGAATAAGGGTGACAAACGAGCATACAGTCCACCTGATGGTAAGTGGATGCTGTTGCACATAGACATCTACATTTATCCTCAATTAAGAATCAAAACGCAGATGCGTTGCCACCCCTGAGGACTAAGATGGAATGCCTCGTTTCCAGTTAAAAAGGGTCTCCAGGTCTCTACACTCACCATGCGAAACACAGCAATATTAAGCTGCTATTTAGCGCTGGTATTCTGTGAGAGCGTGGTCCTTCTCCGATCGAGCCGACCCATTCGTGCTACAACCATAATATAACTGCAGCGAGGCTCTACCACGTATGTAAATTATGTTTCTTTTTTAAGTTTCAGTGAAGTAGATCATTCCGCGTAGGACTCAAATCAATCTACTCCTTTTTGTCCTAAAACGACATGTGCCCGGTAGTGGAATGTATCTAGGCTGCTACTTTTTTATTTTTAATAGTGCTATCCATTGATGATCATAGACTTTCCCCATTGTTTGTTAAATAGGCCAGATATTTGCAGAAGTATTCATGCTTGGCAAGAGGGTTGGCAACCGCAGCTTTTTATTACTTTCGCCACCTCTACGTGGCTAATAAATTTCTGTTACAGTTTATCAATTGGACCCCCCCCCCCATAGATTGCCAAATCAGTTGAACATTTGCCGTAGTTGCCACGCTTGGCATGCGAGTTGCCGAGTGCATATTTTTATTATTTTGGACTATGATCTCGAAGACGTTGCTGCCCAACTTCTGTATAATTTCTACTCCCGTTCTTGAATATAGTTCTTCTCAGATAGTTTTTCTCACTCGTTCACAGTGAATAGAACTACATTTATGAAATTTTGAAATCTATTCGAACGTAAAAAATACTGGCATGTATTTTATAATGCGAATCAATATTCATTGGGGCCAATAATAGTAAATACCACGAAATTCAACATTGTATTGTCAAAACTATATCAGCTTTAATTATGAATATTATGTAAATAACACTTTTTTGATTCCAGGGCAATTTTCCCTTCATAGACACATCGGAAGATATGCTCGATATAAAAAGGTGTTGTAACACGTATGATATTGATGTAATTCCGATAAACTCGCTCTACAAGTGATCCAGTTTTACTAATTTTAGCATGAAATAGTATTACTGTTGTTTGTAAGTTCAAACTCACGCGAGTGAAGCCGTGGGTAAAAAGCTAGTCTTCAATATATATTTAATTCGGTCGATTAACTACTGTCTAGGGTGTCCTTTGCCGACTCTTCTCTTCATTTCTACAGCATAATTTGCTTTGTCACTCTTCCCTAATTAATTTATCTACGTTTCCAAACTACCGAAGCATTTCTTTCTCAAACATAGTCACAATATCTTCTTACTAACCACACTTTTTTCTTAAGACAAAATTTCACTCTATCGTTAGAGTCTTCCGTAATATAATTCTTGTTGACCACTTTTTTTCAGTATTAATTTTACTCTCATGCCAACTTTGCCTACCATACATTCACGTGGAGACTTTATACAACGTCCCAAATTGCCATACGGGCCTTTTAAGAATCCTGACTTCCCACAATAGAGTGAAGCTTGCCATACACTCTGTGTTCTGCATTTACTCATCGTTCTATTCTTATCACGTCTACGATCTAATAAATACACATTCTTAATTCACAAAATCGTCCACTTGCTCAAACTTTCCTCATATTCTACCATAAAAGCGTATCACAAAATTATTATTTTAAAATTTTATCTATTTTTATAAACAATGACATTCATCAATAGACTAGTATACATTTCATAAACAGATTTATCAAGAATCTTGTCCGTAAGCATTCATTATAATTTTATACATAAATTCAACTTACCTCCAATAGCAAGCATAATAGCAAACACTCCATGTGCTGTGGTTAATGACTTTGCTGTAGAATTTGTATCAATTATAAAATCATTGTAAATAAGCCCAAATGAGTTAACATGACCTATTCCCGCAATCTAGAAAAAATATATACGAAGAAACTATTATAAACGAAACAAAGCGAAAGAATATGAAGAATGATTCATCAAATCTGTGTATATGTGAAGTTTTAAAATGATTTCATCGTAATTTTAAATGTTCTCATTACACGGATTTGTTTTCAATTAGGGTACAATCAAAACAAAGCAACAGGCAATAACATTTTATGGATCAAAAATACACTGTGATTGGCTGTTTAAATTCCAAATATACGCAGTTGATTAATGAAATAGTTATTTACATAAAATGGAATCATAATCGTCACAATTGAGAAGTAAATACTTACAAACGTGATTACTATTCCAAAACAAACGACATAACCCCATGTGTTGGTTTCCGCATTATCTATAGGAATATTTGTTTTAATTTTTTCATCGTTGGTTTGTTTACTATGAGTACTGTTTTGCATTTTAAATATGTCAACAGAATTCGTAGTACACTCAATGAAAGCCACGGCTAAACTAAGTCCGGATACTCTAGATAAGGTATTGTACTCTATAAATGGAACGTGTGTATGATACGATAACTATTCTTTGTTCTCTTGTTTCCTACTGTTATTTACTTTGTGACGGCAGGAACGTTGTGGGGGGATTTTACCATATTGCAGTATCTAGCGCGTTATTTATCCCATTAAAAACATAAATGTGAAAGAGTGGCAATTTTGGTACAAAAGACGTTTGGGGTTGTCGGCCATGTCAATAGATGAGTTAAGATCTGAGTGGATGCCAAACTCCATAGCAGTTTCTTAAACCATTGGATATGTAGGAATGTGTTGAACAATATATATATATATATATATATATATATATATATATATATATATATATATATATATATATATATAGTGTTGAATATTATATGTAACAGTAACAGTTATAGTTATTTTATTTTTCTCCTTTTAATAATCTAAATAAACCATGACCTTTCAAAAGTTTCCTATGTTTACGCTTCGTTGTTTTCAATTTTTAAACTATAAAAATGGCATAAACGACCTTGGTAAAATATATAGGTACTTATTTAAACTATCCACACTAATAACTGTGTCCACACCTGCTGACACAGAAGATTATATCAACTCAAGAATAATAATATATTTATTCATAAAATTAGGAAACTACCGTAGTCCTTCTCAAACATGCAAAATTACAAGTGTGTATGTCGAGAAGTATTTAAGTAATGGAGGTTCAAAAGAGTAAATATAAACACTGCCGGTGCGTTGCTCTTTTCTTTACTAAACTTAGGTTAAGTGTGAGTCCTGAGCTGAATGAACCTATAAAAGCCAGAAGACTAACAGCTTTAAAAATCAAAAGACTCGAAGTGAGTATCAACACAAAAGAGTAAAACAAGTTTTTTCGACTCCTATAGGCTCGCGCCCCGTTGTAATCAGCCATTTTTAGTTTGGAATTAATAAACAAAATCAGTTCAGCGTGTAAAGTAATTTATCTTTATATAGTATATAATTCTTTTGTTCCAGTGTATGTAGCGCTGTTCTCGAGATCCAGAAATCACTCGTGCGAAGCCGAGGTGGATCTATTGTTATCACAGGAAACTAAGGAAATATTTCCTATACACTAGTTATAGCATCAGAAGCAAATTAAAAGTAGTATAGTGTAAGGCCCAGTTTACATTTTGAGAAGTGATAAGTGCGAGTGGTTATTGCAACTGACAAATGACAATTGCTTTGGGCGTATTTTTTTCACACTTATTACTTGCCACTGTCTGTTCACTCGCACCAAGCACTTGTCATTTTTCAGTATCACTTGCAACTCGCACTTCTCACTTCTCAAAATGTGATCGGGCCTTAGTTTTTTAAGTTTTGTTAGTCTTTTTAAGTCCGTAAAAGACGTGCGGGCGACGAACGGGCATAAAGCCCATTTTTTTATAGCATAGGGTGACAAACAAGCACACAGTCCACCTGATGGTAAGTGGTTGCTGTGGCCCATAGACATCTATATCTATCCTCGATTACGAATCAAAATGCAGATACGTTGTCACCTATGGTGACTAAAATGGAATGCCTCGTTTAGTAAAAAGGGTCTCCGGTTCTCTACACTCACCATACGAAACACAGCAGCATTAAGCTACTATTTTACGCTGGTATTCTGTGAGAGCGTGATCCTATCCCGGTAGAGCCGACCCATTCATGCTACGACTATTCTACTAATATAACTGCAGCGTGGCTCTACCACGTATAAAATTAAATTTGATATTAAATAGCTGCTATAGTCCATAAAGCTATATTAACCGAGAATTATGAATAAAATGCACATGTGTTATCACCCCTAATGTGTTTTCATCACTCACCATGCGATTCTCTCACAATACCCTAATAAGAATCAGAAGAGGTCAGTGTCCAGCAACAGCATGCTTAACAGCATCTACATTTTACTTACTGCCACTTAACTAGCACAGTCTGAAGCTAGAAGGCCAGCCCACTGCCACTTTAGGTTAACGATCCGTTAGGTTATGTAAGTTACTTAGATTATAATAGCGAATAGTGCTCTTATAAGCTCGCTGTATGACCTTGAGCTTCCTCACGATCAATTGAGGTATGTTGGTTGCTCTAGTTCTACTGCGGATATCATGAAAAATAATAGTAATGGAGTTTGTCCGAAAAATATTCAGACTAGTCACGGACTAGTGGTTACGGCAAATTCTACTTATTATGGGAGATTTTTATCCTCAGCAGCGGACTGTTTATGGGTTTATGATGAAGAATAAGAAGATTTATGTACTATAAATCTCGTTAGCAACATAAGCGACTTCGATAATATTAGCACCGAGGCTCATCATGTTAGTCAGTAAGCCATAGCTTGACTACTTAAATAAAAGTTAAAGTTACAGTCTATATTCGTCCAACTGCTGGGCACAGGCCTCCCCTCATTTCTGAGAGGGTTTTAGGGCAAGGAAGTATCCGCCGCGCTCTCGTTGTACTGCGAGTGTCAACTTGACTGCCAAGCGTGATGAGTAAGGCCCGGTTTACATTTTGAGAAGTGATAAGTGTGACTAGCAAGTGCAACTGACAAATGACAAGTGCTTAGTGCGTGTGACCTAACAGTGACAAGTGATAAGTGGGAATAAAATACGCACTCAGCACTTGTCATTTCTCAGTTTCACTTGCCACTCGCATTGTAACTTTTCAAACTATAAACCGGGCCTTAGGCAAATTCTCCTAGCAATGGGAGAGGCTCATGTGGAGCGGTGTACTTTTGCGCACTGACAGAGATTCTAAAAAGTAAAAGTAAAGTAAAGTTACAGCCTATATACGTCCCACTGCTGGGCACAGGCCTCCTCTCATATCTGAGAGGGTTTTAGGGCAAGGAAATGTCTGCCGCGCTGCCCCAATGTATGTTGGCGAACTTCACATGTCTTCAAAATATTTTTTTTTCTTATACCTCAGACATGCAGGTTTCTTCACGATGTTTTCCTTCACCGCCGAGCACGTGGTAAAGCAGCACTTAAAATTGCAATTAACAATTTTATTGGTGCCAGCGGGGATCGAACCCGGGTTACTCGCGTTCTGTTATATTTACAGCGAGCGTTAACCATCTGAACCACCACGGCTCTCTTTTACTGAACGGATTGAGAACGTCAAGGAGAACCTTCTGGTTTTAATGTGTCAACAAAGATTTTGCCTTTAGTTCTACCTAAAACTTTCTTAGAATTTATTTTTACAATTAAAGCTAACCATGTAATGGCAGTGTAAGATAATTGATCACCCCATTTCGTCCCATGAGTGTCATAAGAAGCATCAACGGGGAATACCAGAAACGTCTGAAAGCTTCCGATAGATGGCGGTTTAAGCATCTCGTTTACGCCGATCGTAAAATACTCAGATAGGTGACGACAGGAGCCCTATAAGTTCGTGAACTTGACTGCCAAGCGTGATGAGTAAGGCTCGGTTTACATTTTTAGAAGTGATAAGTGTGAGTGGCAAGTGCAACTGACAAATGACAAGTGCTTAGTGAGTGTGAACTAACAGTGACAAGTGATAAGTGGGAATAAAATACGCACTCAGCACTTGTCATTTCTCAGTTTCACTTGCCACTCGCATTGTAACTTTTCAAACTATAAACCGGGCCTTAGGCAAATTCTCCTAGCAATGGGAGAGGCTCATGTGGAGCGGTGTACTTTTGCGCACTGATAGAGATTCTAAAAAGTAAAATTAAAGTAAAGTTACAGCCTATATACGTCCCACTGCTGGGTACAGGCCTCCTCTCATATCTGAGAGGGTTTTATGTATGAGGGTTTTATGTGGAATGTATGTTGGCGCACTTCACATGTCTTTCGAAATATTTTTTTTTCTTATTCCTCAGACATGCAGGTTTCCTCACGATGTTTCCTTCACCGCCGAGCACGTGGTAAATCAATACTTAAAATTGCAATTAACAATTTCATTGGTGCCGGCGGGGATCGAACCCGGGTTACTCGCGTTCTGTTATATTTACAGCGAGCGTTAACCATCTGAGCTACCACGGCTCTAGAGATTCTAAATAACATAAAATATACGCATTTGAAAGTGATATAATTATTCTTTATTTAGCATATTTTTAAGAATTTAAAACATTAATTTCAACTCTTATTAAGTTGTTGTAACAGTGAGTCACGCTACCACGCTGCCGCCTGAAATCATCATGACAAAAGTACAAAATTTCAATAAACAATAGTTTGTTGAAATAATTATCTTGATATTTGTTACGTTATTAAACAGTAAAATAAAGCGGGCACGCCTATCAAGCTTCCTTTTCCAAGGTTCTTAAATTATCTGCTTATTTTAATCGTTACTCATACATAGGAAATTTCTCTTGTACTCTAAAGGCTTTTACCATTTTTACATATTATTATATAAATAATAATATGTAAAAATTATTATTATTTTATTATATAAATTGCACAGAACAATTATCTATATTAGCACATTAAATTTCATGAACGTAGCTGAAGCATTGAGCAGATTCGGCAGTGTAATACATAAAATAAAATAACATATTATTTTAGTTTTTATTTATTTACAAATTTATATAGAACTATTAACAGCTATGCAATTAAATATTTAATTTATGATGCGAAAATCATCAACAGTTATTAATTTAAATGAGTATTATACATTTTTACACCATATTTGGGAATCATTGGTACATATAAAGATAAATTATAAAAATACCTAATTATTTTAGTTTGCAGTCATGTAGAAAGAATGAACGAGGAAAGAGTGACAAAGCAAATTTATATTGCAGATGTCAGATTCTACGGTAGAGCGGAGAAGGGACGCCCTAGATGAAGATCTATCGACCAAATTGGCGTTATATTTAAAATGGGCCAGATTAGGAGCACCCTTAACCGACGAGCGTGTATGCGTAGATGGATGTATAAAGGAGGCGAGGGAGGTGTGTCAGGATCGTGCCAAATGGAAGTCCGTAGTCTATCAAGATGTATTTTAGTTTACATAATTTTAATTTTAGCATAGTAATGCTAAAGTTAAAATTATGTAAATATAATTAAAATTATGGATTAATAAAACAGTTGTTTTATTAATCCATATTATTAATTTTTAGGTTTTATCAGTGATTTTACTAATCAAAGAAGAGTTACAAGTTTTTAACTTTGTATTTTCTTGTGTCGAAATATACCTAAACCATTTCACAGACCCGTGAGTCATTGAGTCAAGAACATTTTGATTGTTTAACTACTTTGCTTTTTTCGCGCACAGGGAAGTTTTTAAATACAGTTGAGTCTATCATTTATTCTGTGGTGTCTATTATGACTCATCATTGTCATTACATGATTATTATAATCATAATGGTACCCATATTTTTATTACGAGCTGTAGAAGCCGAGATTGTACAACATATGTACAATAATGATAATTGCGAATGAACGTAAATTTATGAAATCTTAATTTTTAAAACTAAGTATATGGCACATTGATAAATAACATATTTGTTTAATATAGCATTTTTTAACTTTAATATTTGGTGTAGCAAATTGTCATTCTTTCTTCGTCTTTTATAACTATTTCAAGCTGATCGCCCAAAATGAGGATAATGTTTTCGGTGTATGTGAGTTTGCCTGTTTCTTTGCAACCCCCTGTAGCTTAAACAGCTCTACGGATTTTGTCATACTATAGTCTCGATTGATTCATCTACATCTCTAAGGTATCATATAAATCAATTCCACGTTCGCAAGAAGCAATATTATGGCACTTTATGAAGCGCATACTGATAAAGGTTTGTGTTTTTTAACAATATTATCAATGCAGCCGTATTTTTTAGTTTTATTAAAAAATACACATCCAAAATAATAATATTCGTAACGATTTGGGAAGTTAGTTGATTCTTTTTACTTTTTTTTATTTTTTTTTATTGTTTCATTGATAGTTTTAAACAATTTTCCTATTCCTGTTTCATCCTTGACTACTTTTATTAGTTTTTCTCCGCTTCACATACTTTAAAATAGCCTCTATCGTCCAAGGCAAAACACAAAATACATTGCACATTGTTAACATTAAAAATGCTAAAACATAATTTCCAGTGTAATCCCGGATGAAACCTGCAAGAAAACAGTATCAAACATTAAATAACCAATAACCTCATACTTAAGAATTAGCTTAGAAAAGTCGTGTAAGATCAGGGATTACACGCATGCCTTAAATTTAACAGCATGCGAGAAACCTGGGTTCAATCTCTGCCAGCGCTGATGAAATTTATTTTGTTCGACAGTGAAAGATAAAACCTGCATAATTTAGGAATAAGTGTGATATCAGGTCGGCACTGCACGCCAACACGCACTGAAGCAAAGCGATAGACTGATCGCTCCAAAACCCTCTAACCGCGGCTCCACATTATCACCGTGAATCTCCGTAAACAGGCGTGAACGTGAATGTGGATGGTTTTCGCGGGATTCACGCGCGTTCGCGCCTGTTCCCCGATCAGAGTCGGTATTTTGTCCCGCGACAAAGGGTTCACGCATCCTTCGCGCGGCGTTTACACGTACACATCCACATTCACGGCACCGTGCTAGTTCGCTTTGGACTACAAAGGCGTATGGACGGTTTAATTTAGTCACATACCATCTTCTTTTTTTTCTCAACGCTTTCTAACAAATTTCTTGTTTTGGACGTCTAAATAGTGATATAAGTATGTTGCCACAGCAATATTTTTTTATAGGACAGGGTAACAAACTAGCACACAGTCCGCCTGATGGTAAGTTGTTGCTGCGGCCCGTAGAAATCTACATCTGTCCTCGGTTACAAATCAAAATGCAGATGCGTTGTCACCCCCGAGGGCTAAGATGAAATGCCTCGTTTACTTTAAAAAAGGATCTCCAGTTCACTCACCATACGAAACACAGCAATAATAAGCTACTATTTTACGCTGGTATTCCGTGAGAGCGTGGTCCTATCCCGCTCGAGCCGACCCATTCGTGCTACAATTATACTACTAATATAACTGCAGCGTGGCTCTACCACGTATAAAATATATAATGAAAATATAATAAATAAATAAATTTATTGCAGCAGCAGCTTCTACGTCCGTTTCGCGGCGGGTTTCACGAACGATTGTGAGTATCCCGTGAATGTGGAGGGCACGACTTGTGGCGTGAATTCACTACGTGAATTCACGGCGTCACGGGCTTCGGCATTGGGTCGTATGAATGATGACTATAACTATATAACTATATTTTTTCTTCAGAATTAAGAATCATTTAGAATATAATAGAACATGGTTGAACATCTTATTACACCGATGAGCTTTGACGGTGTACTAAGTGCTGTTAAAACTTACTATAAGTAAGTATATTGATATTTTTTTTAAATTTACGTTCTTTTTTGTCCAATAAATAATAATAAAAACGAATAAAGGAGCGAGTCTTTTATCCCGATAAACTTCTATTATTGTAGTTGTCATAAACATACTGTGATGGTGATGTAATTAAGAAATTTAAAAAAAAGCACCGATTTCAATACGTATTGTGTGATTGTTAGAAAAATAACTTATTCCAGCTAACCTTGACAGAATAATATATTCCTTGTTTACAATATTTCCCTTAACGCGGCAAACACGATTATTACATTAAAATTTTGCTATGAATATTAATCAAGAAGTTAGAGTTGTTGTGACACTTAGCGAAACAGTTTTCTTATACAACTTTCACCGCCCCGGTGTTATTCCATGAACAAATAACACAAATAACTTGTACTTACAAAGCTTAGCGGGAGATCGAGTTTTATTTTATAGTCGCAATATTTTACGATATTAGTACTTTGTGACAAATATACGATACCATGTAGTAGCGTCGTAAGAAAAACCTATAATTTTGTATTGTTCTGGTCATGTAGTAAAAGTTTTCAATTTCTTTTAAGAAATAGAAAACTTTTACTAGATGACCAGACACAAGACCTTTATACAAGACCTTTACGGCCAATAATATTATTCGCCTTTGATATATTATCGCTGGATGGCCATATATACAATAGCTATTGTAACATATAAGGAAGTAAAATAAAATGTCCAATATGGCATCTACAATTTGGCTGTCAACTGTAACATTAAGGCAAACACGCCTTTTGGGAAATCCCCAAAACTGAAGAAACATACGATAACACTTACCGATCATAGGTCCAATAGTTAAACTAATAAATCCTGCTAGCAACATATATAAACCATAAGCAGGTGGGTATCTTTCTATAGGAACATGTTCTGCCATAACAATAGGCTGTGCGATGTGTACGAAAGACCTTAATGCTCCCAGTGTTCCAGTCAATACTAGTAGCGGAATATATGTTGTATATTGTACGAACACTGAAAAAAGACATTGTATTATAAATTTGTTTTAAATACTAATTTCCCATCTGATTGAGGCTAAAGAGGATCCATAACCCCTTTAACTTTGTTTATGTGAATTTCGTAACAGACGATTATGGGGAATTCTGGAAAGGTCTCACGTCTAACGATATAAAACGCCTTATAACCATCATCTATTAATATAATGTCAATACTCGGTGTCTAGGGGCAGCGTCAAAGATGCGATATATCGAGTGAAGTCACATCTATCCGCCTTTGAAGCGTGGCGATTGTGAGAATTTTACCTTACAAAGAAGTCAAGCAATATACTCTTGTTGGCTGATGAAAAGAACAACAAGGTCATTTAATAATGCAAATGTGTAACTCAATTTTACTTGTTAATTTTATATCGTAGATAAACTCATAGTGGTATCATAAAGCGTCATAATGATCAAAAATATTTTAATTTAATAATTTCATTTGTAATCAGTACTAATCAATCAATATATCAATTAATTCTTAATTTGCGGTATTTACTTGTTTTGAAGCCGTAATAATAAAATTTTCAATTTCCGCGTTCATAATTAAAAAGCGTACGTTATATAAATTGAGGAGGACCTCCTTCCACTCCTTTAGCAGTTAGCCATCGTAGTCTATTTCTCTTGAACATAATGTTCTGTATAGAGTATAATAAATACAAAACCATAGAGTATAAGTTATAGACTGCAACACATAAAATAAAATCAACAGTGTTGTGTTTTTCCTATTTATGATTTTGTTTTGTTGGGTTTAGTGGTGTCATTGATCACGCACTCATTCGCACTTCCAAATTAGCACCATTTTGATATTGCACGCAGTCTTATCAAATTATTCTTCATACTTAAAAATCGATGATTAGTTACTCGTAAAGAAGGTAATTATTATTTTGTAAACAGACGATTGACTCACCAATTCTAAATATGGCAGTGAAAAGGGCACCGATATAAAACATGTAACGGCTGTTCATTCGGAAGAACTGTCCTGATACAGCTAACAGAAGTCGTGCTGACATGTCCGTAGCCCCTCCAGTTGCGATTATGTTTGCTATCTCGGCCTGTCCAAGAGCTGATGATTAGAATATTTGACATCGTAATGATGTAATAAATAAATTAAAATTTTGCTCTTACAAATTAAAATAGGCGATCTATTATTATTAGATATTGTTTACAAAGTCTACTATACCACAGTATAATACTATATATAATAATAGGTACATATTTCCATTAGTAGTTTATTAGTAATAGTGTTCTTTTCAGACCAGTGTCTACTGTCTATAAATGACTCTTAATTTTCATTTCTATTTAATATCTGGGATTGAAATAGTAAAAAAATATAACTTATTATATTATTATACGTTAAATAAATAATAATTGAAGTAATATATACTAGGGATGGGCCGAATATGGATTTCACCGAACCGAATATTCGGCCGAACATTATTCGGCAGAATTACCTCGGTACCTAACCAATTTATATCGAAACTTGTTACCATAAAGCGCGCGGGATTAGCGCCGGAGCCTTCCCCTTGCACCCCGCCACACCTGACATGTTGGTGCATCATATAGTACTGAGCAAATTGCCGGCACATGCTTATGTTTTCAAAAAGAAAAAAAACTTCGGTGACATTCTTAGTGAAAATTGATAAGTATATGATGAAAGTGAGTGGCAGGAGATTGGACCAATTTTAGAGAAACTGACGACCGTAATGTAATGTTTCTTTGTTTGATTCCAAACAAAATTTTATCAAGCTTTCTATTTGCTATAATTGGAAATGAATCTACAGTGCCTTAAAACATAACGCTATATAAGTAGATTTAAGCCATAAATAAATATACTTTCATCAGCAAAATTATGAAAGACATGGCATTACCCAATTCGTACATTTCTATACAGTGGATACTTTGAGTACCACTTTACCGAATGTTCGGCGATTCGGCCGAATACGAATATTCGGTGATTTAGTCGAATATTCGGCCAAATACTAATGTTCGGTAAACCTGCCGAATATGCCGAATACCGAATATAAAGCGAATATTCGGCCCACCTCTAATATATACACCAGTTAAATACACTAAGTTTAAAAATGTAAGTAAACTGAATTTACAGCCTTTATATGTCTCACTGTTTGTGTAGGTCTTCTCACATTTCTGAGAGGGCGAGGATAATGGACACAGAAATCTAAATAAATTTCTGTGGTAATGGAGAATTTAGCCTGCCGCAATGCTCTAATGCGTGTTGGCGGAGATCGCATGTCCTCAAACTATTTTATTTCTTAGACATGTAGGTTTTTTAACTATGGCTTTCTTGACCGTTAATCCGTACTTAAAAATTGCAATTAACAATGTCATTGGAGCCGGTGAGGATCGAAATTGTTTTTTTTTTAAAGAATAATTGTGACAAACAAGCACACAGTCCGCCTCTTTTTTATAGAATAAGAGGGACAAACGAGCACAAAGTCCACCTGATGGTAAGTGGATGCTGTGGCCCATAGATGTAGACTACATTTAACCTCGATTAAGAATCAAAATGTAGATGCGTTTGTCACCCATGTGAACTAAGATGGAATGTCTCGTTCCCAGTAAAAAAGGTTCACCGGTTCTCTACACTTACACTACGAAACACAGCAGCATTAAGCTGTTATTTTACGCTAATATTCTGTGAGAGCGTGGTCTGGCCGACTTTCCTCCCGGCGTCCATCATTTTTGCCTGTGTGAAATTGTTACTTACAATCACGCGAGACCTCAGGTTAGATACGCAGTCTGGGCTAGCGTGTTCTAGGCGAGTGAACTTTAAAGTTTTTTAACACTACTTTTGTTAATACTTGTGTGAAACAGTTTGTGTTTAGTGCTTAGTATATTATTTAATTGTATTATAAAATAGTTGAAAAAGTTTTAATGTAATTTAAAGAAAATATATGATTATTAGCTACCTATTTGTTAAAATATAATGGCAAAACGTGTTTTTCACTATAATTGTTGCGTTGATAGATGCTTAATGAGCAAACAAAAGGATTTAGATTTATCATTTTTACGTTACCGAAGGGTGATAATGAAAAGTGAATTTATTTCATATTTCATTTTTTTGTTAGGTACTCAAAAATTATAAAGTACTGATGTAAGTAGTATGGAATTATACAGAAAATTTAAAAGGGTAAATGCTTCTGAGTTGTTACGTGTGATTGAAAAAAGACTCAGATTTTAGACTTGAGATAGAAAACATTTGCCTTACCAAGATCGCGTCAGTTGGTAAATGTTTTTAAAAGTTTTTCCCATAAAACTAAGCGAACTCCTAAGCACAGAGCTCATACTTTCACAGATATTTCTCATCATCAGTTAATGCGATAAACATTTGTCATATTTTGATAAACATTCCAAAATCGCCAGAATGAATGTATGCTGTCATTAAAATATATCGCGTGCACTTGTAAGTTTGGTATTTCGGGAAAGACCTCCCAATATAATGAAATGTTAATAAATTTCTCTTCATGAAAATAGAAAAAATAATCCATTGACAGCATTGTGTTTAACCCAATTTAATATTTTACATATTACATGTAAGTACCTAATGATATTATACAATATTTTAAAAGAACTTAATTTTTTTACTTCGTCAGATTTCTATTTGAGGTAGTGAATAAGAAGTTCAAAGTAAAAAGTTAATATTAAAATTAAAAATGTTAAAAGATGTTAGTTCATAATCACATAGTATGGGCACTAAAACACCAATACGCAATCATAGTAATGGTAAAGTTTGTTTTTAATTTTAAACATAATATCTTAGATTTTTTGACATTATTAATATAAGTTATTGTTATTTTGAAAGGACATGTTGTTGTGTTCCAACATGAATCTTATGAAGTTCGCATTGATAAATTGATAAAAACTGGCAATGTTGCCAGCCATCGGTGTTCTGTAGAACATAATTATTTTGAATTAAAAAAAAACACATAATTTTAAATTTATTCATAATTACTTCAGTCATTGCCCTTAAAATTATTGTGCCATTGTCATCCTCTAAATATCCAGTCGGATGACTATAGAGATAACGGAGTCAATATACGATTACTTCATTGATAAAATTTGATTCTCACCCTGCTGAGATGATTTTTGTCCAGAAATAATGGTTCTAGTGTGAAGAACGTCAAATCAGAAAAAAAAGTCAATGACATCCCTATAATAATGTTATCGTATACTAAGTCTTTTAATAGTGTTAGATCCAGGAACTCTGCTACCGTTTGCCTGAAAAAATAAATAAAATAAATCTAAGGCATTTTTACATGAAGTTATTTTAGTTGGTGTTACTATTATATGTGAACTCTAATCTCATAACGTTTACGGTTTACGAGTTTATGAGCACATAGTATATAAAAGAAAACTTTGTTATATACGTGAAAATTTCGAGAATCAAGGAAGTGACACAACATTACTATTTAAAAATGTATTTATTGCTTTTCGAAGCATTCTCCGCGAAATTTGCCACATTTTTCCATACGATGGAACCAATCATTGAAGCAACCATTCCATTCGGAAGTTGGGGTCTCCAAAATGGCCGTTGTAGGCGTCCACAGCTTCTTCAGGCGATGAAAATCTCTGTCACCGCAATTTATTCTTTATTTTAGGGAAAGTATAGCAATCATTAGGGATTAGGTCGGGGCGGTACGGCGGATGGTCTAATAATTCTATGTTTTCTTGCTCTAAAAACTCTTTTGTTCTGTGTGCGGTGTGAGAACTCGCATTGTCGTGATGGAGGATGATGCGGCGGTTGCAGTTCTCTTTACGAAGTTCAGAAACGACCTGTGGCAAACATATGCTATCATGCTATTCTACATTAACCATTATTTGTCCCTCAAGAGGAATAGTCGTAACATGGCCGGTTTTGAAGACAAACGTGGCCACCATTTTTCTTGCAACACTCCGTGAACGAAAAATTTTTGTTGACTTTAACTCATTTTCGAACACCCAAACTCGTGACTGGTTTTTTTGTTTCGGGTTCATACGCATATATCCAGGATTCGTCACCTGGTACGATGTTGTATACAGCATTTGAGGATCCTGCGTGGAATCTTTCGAGAGTTCTGACGCACCAAGTAACGCGAGCCGCTTTTTGCTCTTCACAGAGCGAATGCGGTATCCATCGGGAAAACAACTTTTTTACACATAACATACATGTACATGTAAGATTATTTGTATTTGACTCATGCCAATGTCTAAAGTTGCCTGAATTTCGCGGTATGTCACATGTCGATCTTCCTCAATCAGCTTACGCACAGCATCAACGTTTTATTGGGTGACTGCAGTTTTTGGATGACCTTGACGGGGATCATCACTGAGCTTGACACGTCCACGGTGAAATTCAGCAAACCAGCGATAAACTGTGGTTTTGGATGGGGCTTCATCACCAAATGCAGAAATCAACCGGTCAACACACTGTTTTCGTGTTAAACTACTTCGAAAGTCATAGTAAATCATCACTCTTGAATTTTCTCGAGTCAATTCCATTTTCTCAACGACTAAACAAGTTTGACAAAACCTTGTGACAAGACCAAGAATCTTTTTTTGAATAAATAAATGGTATTCGATTTTTAAAACCAAGGAGTTCAATAAAATAATACATACATACACAGTTTTAAACATTAAGATTTATGCAGTTAGATCGAAGGTAAGTTTGGATTTATTACTAGATAATGTATTATGGGTTATGGTATAATTCCTCAGATATATACAAAATAGTTCATAACACATCCAGACTTCACAACTAAAACGTTTCATTACGAATATTATGCGGTTGAGTTGCAAACTTAGAATATATTACAATATTCTAACTTACAATCTACTCGTAATTGGTATTACGATATATTCCATCCTCCATATTCAATATTCCTTTAGTTAAATTAGGCTGTTGAATGCCCGACACACTGCTCTAGAAAATTCTACCGAAATCTTATCACATGTTTCAAGAAATTTTTTTTAATTGTCTACCAAATCTTAAATTATGAATAAGTATTTTACTTACCATTTACCTTCTTTGTTTTTAATTATAGGCATTGGTTCTGCCGCAATGTTTCCAAAATTACCCAAACTAGATACAGAAGCTGCTTTATACAAATTTTCTAGGTATACGTTATCACTAGAATTGAATTTACTATCAGTCTTTCCATCGTCAGGTATTAAAACTACCGGAATACTTAATCTTCTGGAATCATCTAATTTTGGAACAAATAGTAACTGTGATTCATTTTTGGGCTTATTATTATTGACTATCAATAAATTTTCTACCGATCTTGTTCCATCATTTTTGTTTCCACCATTTCCTACCTTGGGAAAATTAAATTTATTTTTATTATCATCAACAGCTGGTGTAGGTGGAATTACTGTAATTCAAAACACAATTATTGAATTGATTGCAACTATAATCAAAATCAAATTTAAATATAATATGCATGTAACTTACAAACAATTTTTTCGCATGACTTAATTTCCTTTACCATATGCCACTTTACTGGGTGCATAACAATAGCACCAAAAATGCTATGTGCTGATATGGCACAGAGGATGGCCAGAGTACCCCTAAATCCATACTCTGTTATAGTAAATTTAATAAACAGTGGGTACACCATTGTTATGAGTCCAATTGAAGCTTTGCATAAACTAAGATAAAGTACTTTTTTTTTCGTGAAATAGCTGTTGAAACTTGTATAGGAAACGGGAATGAGCAAACCCATTCCAAGACCCTGCAGTAATCCATTTGTTATGATCAACTGTGTCGTTGATACAACAAATATGGCCAAAAATGATGCCAATGTATAAATAAAAGCCCCTATGAGACCAACTTGTCTTAATGATAGCTTTTTTAAAGCTATATTAGCTGAGAACCCTGAAACAAAATATTATTGTAAGTTTGTAAGTAATGTGTTATTATTATTATTAGGAAAATATTCAGGTGTTATCTTATCGTGTTGCTTAGTTTGTTTAAATATGAATTATAAATACATAGATGAAGGACAAACTCACAACTTTAGATAAACAATATTCTAAAACTGGTTTTGATTAAAATTGTTAAATCACAATTGAACTGGGACTGACTTAAATCTAAAGCTAAAGTATGAATAATGTTCAAATAATTTCAAACAGACAAATCTAATATAGCATTTCTATCCAACATCCATTACACAACTCCATTTCCAAATAACTTTGACTAAATCGTTGTAAGTGATATATGAATTTATTTATTTAATGTTATGCAGTAGCAGGGAAGTTATAAAAGAATAGAAAATAATAATAATTTATTAAAATAGATATAGAGTAACATGTTTATAATAATTCTTAAAAGTCATTTTTTACTTTTACCATTGGTTCTGAAAAAGCGCTCTGTCCTGGGAAAAGCCACCAAAAAAACCAGCGGGACTTTTTTTAAATTAAAATATACAAATGAAAGATTGTACGAACCATTTACAAAAAATATTTTAGAAACAGCTTGGAAGCGACCACGTCATCATGGGGTATCAACATCAACCATGTATTCATTTATATTATAATATATTTTGCTTAATAAAATATTGTTTGTTTGTATATAAATAATACAATAATAGAAAATAAACAAGTAATAAAAACTTGTTTATTTTCTGGGACTTTGTTAAAATAGCCTAGACCTATGATAACAATGTCCCAGAATAAAAATATAATAGTATATATATATAAATTAGCGCATGAATATAAAGTACTGACTCTGTGGAGTCGAGAAACTGATATTAGGTTAGGTACTAGCTTTTGTTTGTTCCTAGTGTTTCCAGAGTGTATTTACAGTCCTTTTTATTAAAACTAATTTTGTTTTTGTAAACAAAATTAGAAAAATAAAAGTTTCGTAAATATACTGAGAGGCCAAAGTTTACATATTTATTTCGTTAAATTTTTCTCCGAGAGCCTCTCTAGGTTTTAGACTGTGAATAGCCTTTATAGTCCTCTTCTGAAAACGAAAATAGTTTCTAAATCAGACGCGTTTTCCCACAGCAATATCTCATAAAACATTATACTAGGGAAATAAATGAAATAAACTAATCTAGCTGTCTCGACACTAGTCACGCCTTTAATCTTTACAGCACAAGCTGCAGAGCTTAGTCTACTTGCTAGTTTAGATATATAGGGCAACGGAATAATTCTATAAAATCCAAAACTTCTTCCCTCCTCTTATTAATTTGCCAAAAAAATATTGTATATGAATGTATGTTGACTTTACTATCTTTATAGTTTGTAATTTTTTAAGAAGCCTGAACGAAAAAAAAATTGAAATAAATCGATAAAACTAAAAATAGTTTTTTTTTCAATTAGCAGTCTAGGATATATTTAAAAAATAAACAAATAAAGACGATTTCACATAAAATATATTAATGTTTTAATTCTATCCCGAAATTATTTATTTATTATGGGGTACAGCAGTGCCACTCGTGTAATTACGTAATGTTTTACCATGTTTTACTATGCTTGTAACGGAGTGTTAAAGTTGAAGTCGTAAAAATTAACTGAAATATCAGAGAGTCACTCGCCCATAGTTAGATGGCGGTATAATCGTTGTTAAAATTGTCTAGAAATCCGGAGATAAAGCATTATCGGACGTGCAAAGCTTTTATTACAACAATGTACAACACGCCTGATAACCGAACATAACTATTAAGGCAAATTATCTAAAGTATTAACAAAAAGTTGAAGTGATATAGGTATAAATAAATTCAAAAATATTTTTAGCTTGGTTGTTTTTTATACCGTTAAGTAGGTTTATACAAGAAGTTTGTGCTGTATCGTACAGGCGTTTAACATTACGAGTATATAAGTGACCGCGGGGATAAACATCCAAAATTAAGACAATTCTTATTTGAAGAAAACACAAATATTTTTTCTGTCAGCATCGACGTTAAGAATTTATCTCGAGATCTATTAACGCACACTACAACGATTCTTTACCAAAGCACAACAACAAAGCATAATGTAAGTTAAAAAACATATTTCTTTACCTGCTAAAGCTACAGTAACTTGGAATACGCCATAAACAACAGTGACTGCACCCGTACCAGCTCCCAAATCGTTGAGAAAATCATTATAAATGAATCCAAACACAGGTTGGTGAGCTGTTCCCGCTATCTGTTAACGACAATAAAATTGTAAGTCATTATAGCCCGTTAGTTTCTAAAAAGAATGCGAGAAAAAGATGAGAAAATTTATCTACTGAAATTTACGTGTAAAGACCAATAAGTACGGATCCCTTACTGTAGAGGCTAATAATGTCCTCGAGACCGAATTTCGGTCACGGCGACCAGTCCTGATAGAGACTAGCCATTTGCACAGAACGGGTGTATAATGCACGAGGACATTCTCTATTTGCTCACTCTCATGTTCCACCAGGATAAGGACCAAAGGTTTTCAGGTTGATTGTTAACAATAATAAAAGTGTGAGAGTGGATGTTCAACTTGCTTTCTTGCTTGCGCAAATAATCGTTATCAGGAATAAAACAGCGTACTGCTCTACATATTCAGTGTAGAGCAAATACAGTTCAAACATATAGTGTTGCCGCTTTAGCGACTTTAAATCTAACGAGTTTTTTGTTAATTTAGGGAGTTTAAATCAATGTTTAGCGACAAAAAATATTCTGGTGACTTTTAGCGACATTTGCACTTACTTCAATTTTTGTTACCATCTCACTACTTTAGGCGAAAAAAATACTATACTCTATCCGTTAAAGAAATTATAAAATGTAAAGCAACCAAAACAAAGGTCCTCTGGATGTCGTTTTTACAATAATAAGCAAGTAATTTTTTTTAAATGTTTTTTTGAAAAAAAAAATATTTCTATACACTTGGATACTGATTCTCATAAAGCACTTAAAGGGAACCACAGGGTTTTGTTACATGTCGTGATATATATATATATATATATATATATATATATATATATATATGCAATAAAATTATGTTTAACGACATTTGGGGACTTTGTTTGTTACTAAATTCATTAATAACTAGGGACTTTTTGATGGAAGTCTAGACCTACGCTAAAATTCAATATGGCAACATTGCAACCATACGGTAATATGTCCCCGTCACAATCATACAGTAGTATAACGTGAGAGATGTAATTACATGATAACACCAAAGTATGCAAACCAGCATTAACAATACCCATCGGCCGGCAGCCCAGCCACCCAAAAAAATTATTGATGGATTCATTATAATTATTTATAAATACATCCTTAACACCTTCCTTATCTTTGTAATCATAACAATGTAATTAATTAACTACCATCTGGATGCAATCAGATCAGATTCATTCAATTCTAATCATTAATATTTAAGGCCTTGGTTATCTGAGCACCTTCTGTATTTTAATTTAACAAAAAGTTTATGAAGGAAATAAAGCTGTTATTTGTGTGAATGATAAACAACACGATGTTAAATTATTGTTAACTTGAGATCAATTTCTTTCATAATTTTTTAATGTTTTATTAAAAAAAAATTATCATTAAATTATTTATATTTATCCAAACTTCTTAGCGGGCAGGGGATTTTCAACCGCAGTTTTTTAATCTAGGGACCTACGTTCAGTAATGACTTTGAGAGATGTAATGATGATGATGATAAAAAGTTTTGTAATTCATGCGACTTTTAATGCGGTGTGTTTACATTATATGCAATGGTTACCTTACAGTAGAAATTGCTTTACTTAATTCAGTAGTGCATCTCAACCCATTGTTTACTTTTATAGATATGCAACTGAAAACTCAGCGCCTTGGTTTCAAATCACCCATATATATTTAAAAAAATATTACCTTAGTTTACAGGCCGTAAAGAGCCGTGGTAGCTCAGATGGTTAACGCTCGCTGTAAATATAACAGAACACGAGTAACCCGGGTTCGCTCCCCGCCGGCACCAATGAATTTGTTAATTGCAATTTTAAGTGCTGATTTACCACGTGCTCGGCGGTGAAGGAAAACATCGTGAGGAAATCTGCATGTCTGAGGAATAAGAAAAAATATTTCAAAGACATGTGAAATTCACCAACACGCATTGGGACGGCGCGGCAGACACTTCCTTGCCCTGAAAAACCCTCTCAGAAAATGAGGGGAGGCCTGTGCCCAGCAGTGGGACGTATATAGGCTGTAGCTTTTACAGGTCGTAAATATAAATGCGAAGTAGACAACGATATGTCTTTATTTTATTGTATAATTATTATATCTCATTACATTTGATTAAAGTCCCCTGCTAAGCACAAGCCTCCCCACAGATTACGTCACGTTTTGGGTGCCTTATTTCCTTCTGTAGCCTCTTACGACAGTAACAGTTTTCTTTTACATTAACACATTTTAGAGAACATGAATATATAATTGGTTTTATATATTATGAAGAGATTTTTTTGATATTGTTTCTCATTTAAATAATTTAGTTGGTATTCGACAACATTAAATTATCTTCATTTTCGCAAGTTAGTAACGTAAGTTAATCTATGCCATTTCGTCATCTAGCTTATCAAGTATCGTGACGAATAAAAGAAAAACATTATTTGACATCACAAAAAAAAACACGAGATTTAAAAAAAACAGGATTTGTGTGAAGTCAAATTAGGTCCTATTTCAGCTAACTGCTGCTGTAATAAATGACAGCAGCGTTTATTTTCAAATAGAGCCTAAAATTCACTTCACGGACCGTCATACATTACTCTATACTTGTAAAAGATTCTCATTTATTATGGGAGACTAAGAGAATCTGTACCCATTTCCTGATATGTTACCTATCTCGCCTCTTATGACACCCGCGGTATGATATAGATAGTGGATATTCTTACACCGCCACTACGCTGTGAAGATTTTGTAATTAATGAGGATGTTTGAAGTGAACTTCACTTACTTAATTATAAAATGTTTTAGTTAATTATTTAGACCTGTCATTATATTTTAGTGAATCAGCGTCACGGCTCACTTACAAAGTGAAAGTAATTCGATTCAGGCTTATATAAAGCTCTCACGAACATCAGAATCAACACCGAATCGCGTGACAAGACTTCCTTAGAGGAGATTCGCCAAGGAACTCTGAGGTCGATTTTTAAAGCTGTGTTACAATTTCGTTTCAATAATTACAAGTCCTAATACGATGTCAAAGGTCAAAATATCAGTGTAACAATAATAAATATCTTATCTATACACTATCACATCATAGATATAGTATATCTGTAGTACAAGTACAGCCTAAAAGTAAGAGAGGAAAACGATGTGTGGTAATCATATTCTTGTTTACCAAAATTTATAAATTTTAAATATACTCGTATACACTTATAAAACATACCAACATACACTTATGATTATATTGATGATATTTTTAAATATTCATAGGAATACATACAGACATAGTTAGCTATGTTTAGCTTACAATTATTATGAAATGTCACCAAAACCACGTGGTTAATAGCTTATCCTAAATTACCCGTATCGTTGCAGGGAATTGAAGCGTTATGACAATTGTTTCAAATTTATGCGAGGTTAAATGCATAAATTGTAGGTTTCGAAGTCAATTTTATTAAAAAAAATACTTGTGGCACTCGGTGACTGCCGCGGTAAAGCTATTGCATAGCATTTTTATCAACTTATGCAATTATAATTATTTATTTATTTTATTTATGCAGTATTTTTTTCTTTCTTTTTTATAATAATTCAGGTTTTTTCTTTGATATTAATTCAAGTTATACTTTTTGAGCGTGGTGACCGATAAGAAAACAATTTTTTTCTTTTATTGAATAAATGAGAAGTTAATATTGTTTAAAATATTTTTATTGTCTTACAATACAACCTACATGCAGTGTCAAAATGTCAGGAATTTATATCATTTAAACTATAGGTTTATGGTAATTAACGAGTTCTTCCGACAAACGAAGTCTGTGTTTACGAAAGTTGCTAGCATGACGACGACTTATATGCTTCTTGCAATAAACTAGGTATATTATTGTTTAAAATATTTTTATTATCTTACAATACATGCAACTAGTTCTACACGCATACGTCTAGTCGCACGCACACAAACACCGTAAAAATTAAAAAAAAAAAAAAAAAGTTAAAAATAATTGATATTATTATTTATTACAATACCATAGTGAAGAAACAAATATATTATATATTTATATATATATATATAAATAAAGGTGAGACTGCATGTAGACCAAAAATGCTAGGTATCAAATGCAGCACCTGCGATGTATTTGTCTGATGCTCAAATGCAATGAACAATTCTGGCCTAATTAAATAGTAAGCCTGTCACAAATCTACTGCTGAACAAAGACCTCCGCCATAGATTGCCTCATAAAGTGTTGTTTAATGTTTTTAAGTAATGTATTTTCTATAGTTGCCACTCATGGCAGACGGGTTTACAACCACAGTTTTTTATTATTTGAATTTGTAACAGAAAGATTCTGCTGCCTATATCTTGTTTTAGCTTCCTCCTTTCGTCGGTTATAAAACCCACGGGATGATTTTGGGTAGTGGATCCTTTGCAGCCACTACCACGTTAAATCCTAATCATTAATTTAGGGAAGTTAAAGAAGCCCTATTTAGAGCTTTCTGCACGTCATTTTACACGTGCAGCCTGTGGGCTAGATGTACTCAAAAGGCTTACAACGCCCTCCGAGTACAATACAACAACGCATTTAAGGTGCTGGTGGGACTGCCTCGCTTCTGTAGTGCATGTTCGCGGAAGTGCGAGTGGACTGCTTTTACGCGAGTATGCGCAAGAGGTCCTCGTCTCTGGTGTGCAGGGTGCGGGGGAGCAACAATAGTGTTAAACGTGATTGGGAGCAGAATGGACTGCCCTGCCTATACATGTGCCATTATAGTCCCATGTCGGGTGGATTGGTAAGAAAATGGCACATATAAATATACACGTATTTGTTTTGTACTTCACAAATAATATTATGCCTACTAACATAGTTATAAGTTTAGTTCTAATTAATACTAACAAAATATGAGCCTTGGTTGCTTAAATAAATGAAATTATTCTTCTTCTTTCTTCTATTAATGTAAAATTAAATGCAATAAAATCCGTGATATTATTTTTATTCTATGAATGAATATGTAATTTTAATACATTCAAAAATTAAAGCATTTTTTTCCAAAATAAAACAAACACATAATATTAACACGTGAAATAAAGAGCAACTTTTTTATTGACACATTCTGACTTTTCACAATAGAGTGTAGAGCCCCATTTACTTTATTTCCTGCATTCAATCGTCGTTCAATATCCTTATCATATCTCCCATGCCTGCTGAATACACATCCCAAATATAGAAATTCATCTACTTGCTAGACCATCTCCCCTTCTACTCTAAAAAAATTAAATTAAATTATATTTACTTGATTTATTCCTATTTACAAGCTATCTAACAACCTATTTATTATCAATACAGTGTATGATAATATTACCACCAATAAATAATACAAATTATTTATTGGTAGTATAATTTTAATGATTTAGTAACTGTGTACAAGGTATTATTCACGGAGCCCTGGGTGCTCTATCTCAAAAAGGGTTGAGCGTATAGAAAAAAAGTTGAGACAAAAGTTATGGCAATTTTTTTAATCTTTATTTTCATAATAGGTGTTGAAGTTATTGCAACCATAAAAACGGACATAACTGCAAAAAACCGATTTTCGTGACCTTTGACCTTGAGTACCTATTGACGCAGACACGAGATAATATGAGACTTGAGACAACTCTTAGAACACCAAAATGAAGTTGTACACGAGTTTCCAGCTCTTTATCTCAAATTCCGGGGTGAAACCCTAAAGTGACTGGACTACCGCTCGAGAACCTTTTTTACCCATCGGTTGTCGGTTCTTGGAGCTATTTGGCAAGCCCATTGTCACTTCAGCTTACTAATTGGTTGGGCTATGTCGGTCACTCTAGTTCTACTGCGGACATCCTTGTTTGCATAGCCCTCTCTATAGTTCGCTGAGCGACCTTTAGCAGCCAGCAGTCTTCACTGGCAACATGCACTGTTAATACAATCGCGTTTTCAGTTTTTGAGGTATATCCGACGAGAAGATGTGTCATAATTTACCGAACGCTGCCCAGCCGAATTGAATCCGTCGCTTTACCTCCCGGTCGAAGTTGGACTTACTAAGTCGGACTATTTCTCCCAGGTAAACATACACATACTTGTCAACAACATAGAGCTTAGTCTGCCCAACAACTAACGGCGTAGGTGTGACATGGATCTTTGTTTTGTTCATATCACCTTAAGACCTATTCGTTAGGAGACACTCGATATACCGACAATCTACTTGGTGCCGCTGAAGGGACTGTAGCACCACCAAATTTCGACGGAATCAAAGGTTTTCTCATAGTCTACATGAGAAAACCTTTGATTCCGTCGTGCAAGGCGATGTGACAGATTGTTGTACTCTTCGGTCTTCTGTATAAAATTTGCCGAAGGGTAGATATGTGGTCTATGATACTAAAGCCTTTTCGGAAACCGGCTTGTTCGGGAGGTTGAAAATCCTCGAGTCTGCGTGCGAGACGATTTGTAATGACTCCCGATATCAGCATGTAGATGCGGCTCAGAAGGGAAATCGGTCTGTAATTCTGTATCCTTGAAAAACAAGACCACCGCACTTTTGCTTCACATCTTCGGAGTAGTTACACCATGAAGAACGCCATTAAAAGTGCTTCTGAAGGACTTCAAGTATCGGTTTTCGATCCGCTTTCAGAAGCTTCGTTGTAATTCCACCCTCACCTAGGGCCTTGCCGTTTTTAAGGTGCTGAAGAGCCATTCTAATAAATTCGCTCAGACTAAAGACTGGGATATCATCGGAATAGTGTCAGATAAAATTGCTCTCGGATCGTTTGTCACACTTGCGTGTGCTTCCAACGATGAGGTGTACAGCTGCCAATAGAGCCTTTATTCCGCTCGATCGCTTCTTCAATACGATCTATATTAAAGTTACCTAAGTCCCGCCGCAACCATGAAGAGATCTTGCCAAATCTGCTGAAGACTGCAGTTTAATTTCCGTCTAACAGTCATGAGGTTAAAAGTGTAATTGGAGAATTTTATGTTCTTCTGCGGCGGGTCTTGCAGAATACAGCTCCAACCACATAGAGAGTTTCCACGAGCTTATCATTCATATCGTTCACTACATTAGAGTCTTCTAGGTACTAAAAACGGTTTTGTTACTCAAGCTGAAAGGCTTAGGGACTTTGGATTAGAGCACGAGGGAGACGAATGTAACACTTAACTTACAATAAGTACTTTGAATTTCCATTATTTAAAGAGTAAAAACTTGTTACGCAAAATAAAACTGAATGTCAAGTACCGTTTCTCCGTCTACTTACTTTAAAAATTGACAACATTAAATTATAGAATTCACTGCTAAATAAAAAAAACCTTATCATGACCATTAAAGATTACTGATAGTAAAACAAGTTTGGTCAGTAGCAATACATATTATGATAGATTAAATTAAAGCTCAAAGAGAAACATATAATTAAAGACCTATTTATAAAATTATATCTCTTAAAATGTAATTATTATTAATACAAACAAGTACCGATTACTTAAAGAATGTTGCGATCGTAAACACGCGTAGGCTAAAATAACAATTTGAAAAAAATTAAGTGATGGTTGTACGACACTGCGGAAATCCTAAATGAAACCGCTATCTCTTTATAAATATTTATTTATGCTTTGTAAGATATCAATTACTTAAAGTTTTGTACTTGTTTAAGCTCCTTTTCTTTTTAGGTGTTTATGCACCAGAGATATTGCTGTTTCGATTTGAAGGGCTTCGAACTTCGATCAATAATAGTACTATTGATCGAAAGTTTCGAAAGAACGTCTAGTAGAATAGTATGTCACTGTCCACATATCACTACAGAGATTATCCTGTAGTGATATGTGGTCAGTGATATTCTATTCTGATATAACCTACCACCTGGACACCTATATCTTCCCGCAACTGCTGGTGTCAAATCTTGGATGGAATCCACGTTTTGGCAATGATTTTGACACTATAATATTTTATACTTAATTGATTAGCTTCCGACGTTTTCGAAGTTGTCGTGATGTTCACCATCGGCTTCATATCACAATAAATATTGACAGTCGCTAATTCCAGCTGTAGCGGGTACAGAGGCTGATGATATCAACTATGTTGATGATGATAATAATTAAAATGAACATGTATTGATGTTGTGTCTAAAACAAAAACTCATTAATTATGTATATTTTTATTATTTTACATTTTCTTTTTTACGGTAAGACTATAAGTCTTAGATTAATAGACATATAAAGGATTTAAGTGCAGCATTTCTTATTAATAATTATCTAATAATGCTATTTTCGCAAAAGTTGTACAGGGTCACGCTTTTCATACTAAGGAATTAAACGAAATCTTTTAGAAAAAATACTGATAAATTACAAATTTAAAAAGTTTCGTTAATTTTAACAACATCAGTTTAGCTTATAAAGTCTTATATAAATAAAGTTTTAGTATCGATTTTACTTCTTGTTAGTTTGTTATACTTCATATTGAATATAATATATTTTATAACGAAAAGTTTATTAAAGGTGTGAAGAATGAGCTATATATGACATATTATTGTAGTAGGATGCCACTTTACTTTGCTTTACTTTTAATTTAAATTTAAAAAAAGAAAGAAAAGTAAATTCTCTTACTTAAACGCTATTAAGACTTGACGATGGAATTCATCATCAAATCGTATTAAAATACGCGAAAAAAGATTAAATTTGGTGTATGTAAACAATAATATGTCATATAAATAATATGTTAAATACCAATTTATGAGTTAGTTGTCTATGCTTGACAAAGTTAGCTTACTATTCAGCCCACTATGACGTCATCATTAGTAAAAGCTTGAAAAGCTGTTAAAATTAACTGCTGTTTAGAAATCAAATAATATAACTTTATGTATAAAACAAAACTATAAAAACAATACCTTAACAAGTTTAAATACCGAATACCTTAATAAAGTTTACACTATTCTTTATCTTAATAAGTACGCAAAGTTAACTGAAGTTTCATAAACATCTTATCAATATTATAAATTCTATTGATATGATTTTAAAAAATTAAATGCAACTAAATCGTTTAAACAATTTTGAAAATTTTTAATACTCACGAAAATAACTGACAAGCCAATGCATACTAGGTATCCCCAGCCTCCCTCAGGGGGCACCATCTCATAATTTTTCTCATTGCTGTTACTCCCCTGCAGACTCTGTTTCCTCTTTGCTGTCATCCTACCGCAGATTCGTTCACCGAAGTTTACGTGTGTGCACCGACAGATAAGCAACAAGCTCTTATAAGATGACGGCAGGTGGTCCCATTAATAAATTCTCTATTAAATAAATTACACGACTTCTGTTTGTTTATAGCTTAAACTATAAAACTGCAGTAGAGGATACGTGCAGTTACATTTCGCAAATAGAATCCTTGTATTTTCCACAATATAAATTAACAAACAACTGATACCGCAGTTTCATTAACGCGACTCAAAGCAACGATGTCAACTTAGCCACTACGTTAGTGATGCCCCGTAGAATTAAGAAACTAGAAAAAATAGATAACCGTTCGGATTTTTTTAATTTTATGAACTCTATCTTTTACTCTTTCAATCGCATAGACGGACATGCGTGGATTGGTTGGGTGCAGACGCTCTACTTGATCTTGTGAATGGTGATTAAATATTTTTACCTAACACTGGCCATGAATCCATTAATTAGCGTTCCACGGTATTAAGATTATAAAAGTCACTCTGCGATTGTATGTGTTAGGATAGTTTGGTTCATTAAAATTATCAAATTACGCAAAATATTATGCACATAATACACGGTATCTGAGGTTACGATAAAATAAATATTTACGCGGTTTCTACGAAGAGATTACTTTCATTAATTAGTTTACGTTATAACATCATTGTCTTTGGAGTTATTTATTTATACAGGTTACATATTTTATTGCTATTTGCAAATAATTAATAGCCATTCATCAACATAAATTTGCAGTAAACAATGAATTTATAAATTTCCCTTGGGAAATCCATGCTTAAACTATTTGTTAATTTATGAAGATAATTTATTTATTTAAAAAAAACATTTTTATTAGGTATAAGCTACTGGATTAGAAACAATACGGTGTCAGCACTGATAGCGAATACATGGCGTTTACTTCACTCAACTTCGATTGTATGAAAATTTTGGATTAGTTACAATGGCTGCGGTGTTTAAGAGTGCTCTAGATCCACTTACTCAATAAGAAGGAGACTATAATGGGCTCTCGCTATCGGGGACTTAGTAGTATGCAAAGACCTACACGTAGCCCCCGCAATACGGGGGCAATTCGAAATTGTGAACTTAAGAACCTTAAAGCAAAGGTGTACAAATTAGGAAAAAAGGTTCTTAAAGGAAAGGATATTCCTAAATGAATTGTTTACTTGATGATTCATATAATGTAAGAGATTATATATATATATATATATATATATATATATATATATATATATATATATATATATATATATTTGAGTTGGGCCGATTAGTCAGCGATTAATCGGCTTCTAATTTTATTAACTTCAGCCAAGATTTTTCGTGATTTTCTGCATGGTAAATGCGGCTACTTTAATATGAGTAAAGCTTTGAATTTAAGAAAAGAATAGTTTCTCTTCCATGCGTAAAATCAGGTCATATTTATATGTAGGTAAATCAAAGAAATAATAAAATAAGTAGGTTCATACATTACTTTTATTGAAAAATCAGTCTCACATGTTTTAATGTTAATTTTTCTATTAGCTATTTAAATTTAAAACTAAACGAAAACCTAAGTGCTTATTATTTTAACTCTACTTTTTAACTTTTTCTAATCTTAATGCAGAGTAGTAACACAACAAAATAAAATATTAATAATGATATTCTTAATAAACTTTAAAAAAAAACAAATTTTAAGTCTCCCCCTTTTCATAACAAAAATAAACCACTTAATTCTTGAAATAAATAATTAAATAATATTAAATTCACATAATATAAACGTCCTAAGCGAACAGTCACTCGGCTTAGTAACACGTAGTTGTTGTGTGTGACATCGCGCATTTATTAATGCCACATTAACACAATAATCATTTTACGGAGTCATGAAAACAATAAAGAAATACTTAATCATCAGAAACTAATTCAAGGAAAGTTTTATTGAAATTATTATTCAGGATTTTTAATTTTTGTAGAATAACCACGAAGAATTAATAGAATATACAGACTTTGCATAGATTCCTTCTGTATGTGTGTCACTTTTTTCAAAAAAAAAAAAAAACTGTCAATCTTAAGTAGATTCCCTTTCTCAGAAAAATCTAGTTTCTTTTGTATCATGGTGGCGTTTTAGATGTGTTATACATCAAACATATGTCCAGGCGAATCTGTCGGTTTAAATTATCTTTATCACAAAATTATAGCAATAGCAAAGCTACAGCCTAAATGCGTGTCACTATTGACCACAGGCCTACCCTCAATTTCAGAAAGGGTTTTAGTTCGCCGCGCTGCCTGTTGGCGTGCGGAATGCATGTGGACGGATTTTAATATGTCACCAAAATATTTAAATTCTTTATACATTTAATAATACATTTTCTTCAAATATAGAATAAGGGTGATAAACGAGCACACAGTCCACCTGATGGTAAGTGGATGCTGTGGCCCATAGACATCTACATTTATCTTCAATTAAGAATCAAAATGCAGATGCGTTGTCACGCCTGAGGACTGAGATGGAATGCCTCGTTTCCAGTAAAAAAGGGTCTCCAGTTCTTAACACTTACCATACAAAACACAGCAGTCGAGCGGACTTTTTCGTGCTGCAACCACAACATAGATGCAGCATGGCACTATTACGTATAGAAACATGACGATTTCTTCACGGTGTTTTTTCATCACTGAGCACGTGGTAAACCAGTACTGCAATCAACAATTTTATTGATGCTGGTTGGAATTGAACCCGGGTTGCACGATACTGTGAAGTTTACAGCGAGCACTCAGCCCCTAAGCTGCCTCGGCTCTCTTAAATAATATTTTGGTTAATATGCCTCAAAATGAATATTATTCATGTTAAATAACTTATTAATATATTATAATAATAAATAATATTAAAGTGTGTAAAACGTTTCCCAGGCGAATGGAATCTCAGAGATAAACGTTAAAAAAATTGTATGAAATTAACTAATTCAGTGATTCGCTTAATTAATTTTAAATTAAAACATATGAATATAGAGAATGTTAAAAAATACCATTAACATCAACCATATATATATATTACATGTTAATATGAGTAATGCGAGGCTACCTTGAAGTTTCTTATTGGAGTTTCGGAAATCAAAATTCTACATTATTTGATTTAGTTTAAGCGTAACTAATTTGTCTTTTTTAATAACTTTTATTAAGAAACATAAAAAAGAGTGTAGTCATTTAAGAAAGAAGTAAAAAGAGTCCTTTCTCAATTATGATACTGAAGCCGAGTATTGTTTACTATTGCATAATAATTAACATTTTTTTATAGAAAAGGGGGCAAACGAGCACGCGTCTAACGGTCTCACCTGATGGTAAGTGACTACCGCCGCCCATGTACAACCGCAACCCCAGGGGAATCGCAGGTGCATTGCCGGCCTTTTAGAAAGGAATAAGCTCTTTTCTTGAAGGTCTCTAAGGCTATTTGTCCGGAAAAATCTTCAGTGGTAAACAATTCCACAGAGAAGTTGTACGAGTAACAAAACTCCTAGTAAAACGCACAGTGGTGGAGCCATGCAGTAACTGTGTTTTTGAAGCATCAAAAAGGAGTCCGCTTCTCGGGAAAGGATGACAAACTCACACACAGAACAGAAAAAACGCCTAACAGCATTCCAACGTAAAATAGAACTTTATAATTGCTGTTTCGGGGGGTTATTATAATATTAAGGAATTTAAGGATGATAATAACCCCTGGGAAGAGTGATCTCTAACAAGCTATTTCTAATTTGTTTTGTGTTGTTAATTGTAACATACATGATTGTAAGCTATTATTTGAAAGAAAAAAATAGTCCCGCTTGGTTTGTTGATGTTTCTACAATAGGAGAAGTAAAACGGTATTGACAAACTTGTAATTAAATCTAAGAATCAATAAAATTACTATGTGATGCAATAACGCCTGTTTGGATCCAATGCGGTTGCTTATATTGTTGTATAATGTTATGCAATAATTTTATTGTTATCAAATTTACTAACTAATTTTGCTTTGAATTCCGAGAGCGAGGATCTTTAAAAAATGATTGAATAATTAAACGACGGTTTCGAATTATTGTCGCTAGGCAATTTAAACCTTATCTATTTTTATTAGCATAAAGTTCTAATATAAAGAATGGAAAAAATATACTCTCTCACCTCAGTATCGCACGGATGCGATTCAATAGTATGTTGCTATCTTTTTACAACTTGATCACAAAATGCCAACATTTCTAAAACCCTGCATGGAATATGAAATATAACACATGAAATATGCCTGTATTATGAAAACCTTCTGCAATAAATTCTTTCAATGATGGCGAACACCATAATTTTTTTATACATAATACATCAAGTAAAATAGCAGTTAAATGCTGCTATGTTTGATCCTTAATCGAAGATCGATGTGGGTTTCTATGGGCCGCCTGCCACAGCAACCACTTACCATCAAGTGGACAGTGTGCTTGTTCATCACCTATATTTTATCAATAAAACTGGCTCAGTAATGGTCGCAGGCGTTTCTAATTGACAATGATAATTTTAAACATCACTTTGCCTACTTATAAAAGGTTGTGCAATTTGACACAATAACTAAAAAGGCCCAAATTTTTGCCATTCATGCAGAGAAACGTAAAAAAACCGGAACGTAAATGACGTAAACGGCAATAAGTGAAAGATCACTATTTAAAAAAATGTAAATCGAAGGTTAAACGATGGCTACAAATATTTTTTTATAAAGGTAGCAAAGCTAATAAGGAATTAATAATTGTTGTAAATAATGTAGGTATATTAGTTATGAAGCAATGAAATTCAAACAGCTATACCAGATATATCGAAAATATACTGGTTCCATTCAGGGACCCACTTAAATAGACATGGCGTTAATGATTAAATTTATTTATTTGTTAAAAGTTATTTGTTAATTTTTTAACAGATGAAATAAACGTTTAAAAATATTACTTATTTTTGTAGTGGATTATTATTTTTAATCCGTTGTGTTAATTTT